ACCTGTATAAGGTTGATCGAGCCTTATTAAACAGTAATTCAAAGATATTTGTCAGAAGAATGACTGCAGTTTGGACAGTGAAAACCCCAACGTAAACGCATTTCATCACATTTACATGTAAACAATGGAAGCCCAACAGTCTACGCCGATATGGTATAAACTTGTCTACGTGCGAGCAAAACGTGTTTTGTAACCGCGATTTTCGCTCATATGTTAACGCTAATGATCCAAAATTAATCGCTTCCATTTGCTCTCAAAAGTACTTAAGCATTCGAAATTCACTGAGTGATGTTGTCTCTGCTCCGCTGTTTGTTGCTGCCGTCTCCTTCTTTGTTGCTTGCGTTGAATTTCAAGTCGGCGTTCTCGCTCCAGAGGAATCTTTAGGTGTCAAATCTTCCCCTGCGAGGATTGACAATTCGGCGTTCTTGCGTTTGCTGTTCTGTTTGCATAAGAAATCGCTCGAGATTCACCGATAGGAAACATTGTTCCGCAGACGACGAATAAACAAGTCAGCTCTTCATGAATACTTTGGTCATTGATGGGAAATCGCTTCTAGTCGAATGTTGCCCAGAAACAAAAAATGCGCCGTGACGTCAAACTACTGTATGACGTCATGGCGGACACCATCAGATATGTACATGTAGAGATGAGCGCGGATCCACGCGCGGTCCACGCACTGCGCGCGCTTCGCGCGCGACGAGATTATGAACTCACTTCGTGAGGAATAACTATTCTTTCACAAAATTGGCAAGGGCGATGCGCTTTATCGTTTTTTTTCTGCCCTGTCCCTTGACTTGCCTACGCCTAAGCCAACGACTAGGTACGAGTCTGCCCCATTACTGGCTCATCGCCAAAGGATACCCAGGTACACAATAGTTGCTTGCGACTTTGTAGGTGTTGTGGAGAGAATAAAAAAAGAAAAAGAAGGGTCAGTCGGCTTTACAGCCATAAGGAATCCACTATAGTCATTACGTTCACTGTTTTTCCTCACCTCTTGCGAATTCTTTTGATATGTTGCAAGGCTTTTGGTCAGCTTTTCACGACACTGCCGGCAGATTGCTTAAAGAAAGATAACATTCGAGAAGGCCTTTGTGAGTGAATACAGTGGTTAGTGCAACATTTCTAATAGTACTGTTGAATACCTGAGCCGATGAGTATAAGTGATCCAGTCCTGTTGAAGATTTCCTCTGACAGGTTCCTACTGATAGTGCGATCACCCGTGTGATTTTTTGAGCGGTGAGATGCGACCCCCTCTGGGACCTGGCAAATCTTCTTACGCACTCTCCATTTTATAACAAAGGTATCTCGATGCTTTCGACAGACCATCAAGTCTACTTCAGGCGTTCCCGAAAATACTCAGCCTTATACAAATTTAAGTCGACCATGAACATCCCTTCAACGACAGATGTAAGGGGTATGAAAATGTTCTTACCTGCTCTCAGTAAAATCAACTCTTTCTCAGACAACACGTCCTCTTCACGCATTTTCAACATTTCCAAGTGGCCCGTAATATCGCGCAGACAATCAATTAACACTTGATATTCGTTAATTACTGTATCTTTCACAGCAACTGAACCGCACTATGTCCCAAATAGCTTTCCAATCCCGCATTTATTCATTTTTTCTACTTTTACGAACAAAGATGTCTGCCATTCACTTGTTTTAAGTTATCGTGAGAGTGGGAGTGTTTGTAGGCGCCTTAAACTTTCTAGCAGTCTGGTGATCTCTTCGCAGATGATTGGCAGGTGGACATGAGAGTGTTTTTGCAGTCAATAAATATAATGCCTTGAATTTTGTACTGTCCTCCAAGAAAACAAGGGTTTCGAGAGAACATGATATTATGAAAAAGTGTCCCGTCAACTGTTTTCCGGGAAAGTTACGAACAAGTAGAATCTATAGATTGTTTGTTTCGCTTATAACTAATCAAGCGTGACAAATGCTTATTGAATTACAGCATTAAACTTTGCGGGTACTTTCCCAGGCATGCAAAGTGAGGCGACCTTAAAAATCTGTCCAAAAACTGAAATCCGAATTCGAAGATTTCCCTCTAGATTAAGATGAAGCTAACATACAGAAATGAAATGATTTGCCAAGTGTATAATTTCTTCAATGTACTACGACATGCAAACATCTTTTTTCCATATAGGATGTCACAATGAATTTTCCAAGACGACTATAACGAGGCAAATGTTTGAGGTACACTTTTGACATGCAATTTAAGGCGGTAGACCAGTCCCTCATACAACTACAGGCCATTTACAATCAATGATCGAAAAATTCTTGAAAGTTTTTATTGGATTAATGTATCGGTCAAATCGAAGCTTCAACATGCCCCCCCCGGGCATACCCCGGGCATTTGACACCTTTGCCGTCCCGGGGAGGAGGGAATTTGATTATCAGAGTCTTCCAGGGGGTGGGGAATTTGATCCCCAGGCTTTAGGGGTGGGGAATTTGAACTGCACCCTCGATTTCATGTAAAATCTTTGGCGTGACGAGCTATCATGGGGGACGCGGTGTTAGAGGATTTTCGTGGAAAAGATTGTGCCTTTGTGGCCAATTGGTTACAAGGAAAGGGCTTAAACAAGCTTTGTGCCGTTTTTGAAGTATTTAAATTTTAAAATTTTTAATACTGGATTCAGGCTTTGAATGTATGAATGTATGTTATTGTTGTGTTTACAATGAAATACAATACCTATACCAGCGATTCAATACTACAACATAAAATAGAATAAAATAAAATAAAAAGCTCAGGTCAACTACTTTGACCTACTGCAAGTATGTTAATTTATACGGTGAGCGATGATGCATGTCAGTGAAATGGTCATGATGTAGTAATCTCAATAGGTGGGATCTTTTTTTATAGAACCCTTTGTATGTTGCATGATGAAGAAAAGCTGAGCATTCAGTGACCTTGTAGCAGCGATTTCTGCCGCTTTGCACGAGTTTTTTGTTCGTAGTAAATACGCTAACAGTGTTTTTGTTATATTTATAAAGATTTTGTTCGACAACTGAAGGCGTTTCCGCCGTCCTTCTGTCATTTTTGTGCCTGTGAAATGTCCCCGGGGTGGGGGCATTTGATCACCTGAATGGACCCTACTGTGGGGCATTTGAACGGCATTTTGGGCCCGGGTAGGGGGGAATTTGAACAATAATTTTCAAAAAAGTCAAATGCCCGGGGGGTTGCCCGGGGGGGGCATGTTGAAGCTTCGATTTGACCGATACATAAAGAAGCATTGCTCGTGTGTTTGACAAGATGCGAAGGTTTAGCTGCACCAGCGTACCAAGGAACGCAGCGGGCAAATCTATCAGACTTGACGCACTAGCAGAGCAATAAAAACAATGTACATATTGGTTATAAAATAACAACACATTCAAAAACAAATTAGCAAAACAGTTTTTGACAAATTGCATAGTTTATTACCAGCTTTTGTATTCTCGTCACATCAACCCTGGCGACAGACGTTCAGAGAGCGTCTCAAGAAAGGTCGAATTTTGGGCACTTTTAAGGCGCTCTACTGGCAACACACAGAGACTGCCCTCGGAACTTTTTATATCAAAAACTTCACCAGCATAAGGGGCTGTTTACATGACACCGGGGGGACTTTCACACCGGAGTGAGTTCACACCAGTTCCCTCTCATGGCTCTACATTTGTTTACATGATACCACCACAAAATGTCATGCCGGCGCGAGTCACCCCGGCGTGAGTTCACCCCGGTTGTTGTACCGGGGCGAGAATTTCACTCCGTACGAAATCTCGCAACGGTATCATGTAAACACGAAACGACCACACGTTTTGGTGTAAAATCGGCCTGCCGGTAGACTGGAACGGGTAGCGCATGCGTAATGTTTGCGATTTTGAATCTTACGTGTATTTTATCAACATGAAGTCTACCTTCAAATAACGAGATGTAAAATGACCCAGTCATAATGTAAACGCGATACGAAATAAAAAAGTCATCCCGCTATGAAACTCGCGTCGGTGCGAGTTTTCTCATCTAAACACCCAAAAAGGCTTTCCAAAAGGTATTAAAAAATTGCTCAGTCTCAGTCTACTACTCGAGATATCCCTCGGGATATGCAGCATAGCCCATGACTATACGAGTATTGAGAAAAAGAGAGTTGTCTTTCAATTTGATTTTGATGAAATTGATAGATCACTTCTAAGAACTGAATTAAGTTTCCTTGGATTTTGGAAATTTTGTACGGATTTTTCAAACTGTGATTTTATTCCACTTTTTAAGCAAAAAATGCCCCCTTAAAGTAAACGCGTCTCAAAAGAAAAATATTGAGTTAACGATAAAACAAATTATGCCAATGAATCAGGCATATGATAGACTTTATACTGACAAAGTTTCAAAATTTTCCATTCTTTGGGCCAATTTCCAACTTTGCTCGATCCTTACAGGCAACGCCTCTTAATTCTTAAACGTGCGAAGATATATCTCCTCAAAGTTACAAAAATTTGTAGACGCTTACCTTGAATAAGGTTCTTCAATTCCGCCATCCCGACCAAATTATTTTCTTCATCTTGAAATGCCGAACGTTTTTATCGGCCAATCGCGATCCAGGTCATTATGTAAGATGTCAAACCTCGTCATCAATTACAGTTAGATTTTTATTTAAAAGGCGCTTTGTTAGTCTGTTCCACTAGACTTCACTATCCAATTGACTTTCACTGTACCATTTGCAATAACAATTTTAATTTCATTAAAAGTGAACGCTTTGACAGTTTTTAACGATATAAATAAAGCAGAAAAAGAGAAGAATGTGAGAAAAAAACCCTTTCTTTAGAAGTGCTTTGTCCTTCTTTAAACAACGAAATCTCTCCTTATCATTTGTGTATTTATAAACCCGTCTAACAGAAACAAATTCTAACTTTCTAACTCAACCGATTTACCAAAAGCAAAAAAAAAAAATCATGCTTTAACTTAAAAGGCCAAACGTTACAAAACCGTAACGAAACTTAACAAAATCTAAAGACCAAAACGTTTATCAACTTTATGAGCCATCTTCAGCAACATGCCTCATATGGTTTTCATAATGTTGAACAAGAAGAGATTCACTACTCATCTCCTCTTGACAAATCCAACAGCTGTGTTTCTCAAGGATAGGCGATTGCGGATCCTTCATACCACTGTTTCCAGTCTCTCTTTGTGACAGTGTGTTGTTAGTCAATCCTGACCTTGTACTACTTTCTTCTCTCTTACGCTTACAATGAACACGTGTAAACGGACCTTTGTCACTGTCACATTTATGCAACATTTTTGTACTGTGGACTTTTTCGTGCCTCCTAAGACCGCTCGACTGACTAAAACACTTGCCACACTCTTTACATTCATAACGCTTTTCCCCATTGTGAACTCTTTCATGAATGTTTAAAAGTTCTATTCGGCTAAAACACTTCCCACACAGTTTACATTCATAAGGCTTTTCCCCGGTGTGAACCATTTCATGTCTCCTTAGCACTCCTGCTCTGCCAAAAAACTTGCCACACTGTTTACATTCATAAGGCTTTTCCCTAGTGTGAACTCTTTCATGAATCCTTAGGTTTCTTGCTGCGCGAAACAACTTGCCACAAAGTTTACAGTCATAAGGCTTTTCCCCAGTGTGAACTCTTTCATGATTCCCCAGACTTCCTGTTTGGCTAAAACACTTGCCACACTGTTTACATTCATAAGGCTTTTCCCCAGTGTGAACTCTTTCATGATCCCTTAGGTGTCCTGCTTGGCTAAAACACTTCCCACACAGTTTACATTCATAAGGCTTTTCCCCAGTGTGAACTCTTTCATGAATCCTTAGGTTTCTTGCTTCGCGAAACAACTTGCCACAAAGTTTACATTCATATGGCTTTTCCCCAGTGTGAACTCTTTCATGATTCCTTAGACTTCCTTTTTGGCTAAAACACTTGCCACACTGTTTACATTCATAAGGCTTTTCCCCAGTGTGAACTCTTTCATGATTCGTTAGGTGTCCTGCTTGGCTAAAACACTTGCCACACAGTTTACATTCATAAGGCTTTTCCCCAGTGTGAAGTCTTTCATGAATCTTTAAAAGTTCTTTTCGGCTAAAACATTTCCCACACAGTTTACATTCATAAGGCTTTTCCCCAGTGTGAACTCTTTCATGTCTCCTTAGGGCTCCTGCTCTGCCAAAAAACTTGCCACACTGTTTACATTCATAAGGCTTCTCCCTCGTGTAAACTCTTTCATGATTCATTAGGTTTCCTGCTTCAATAAAACACTTGCCACAATGTTTACATTCACAAGGCTTTTCCCCAGTGTGAACTCTTTTATGAGTCCTCAGGTCTCCTGATCAGCTAAAACGATTTCCACACTGATTACATTCATAAGGCTTTTCCCCAGTGTGAAGTCTCTCTGGACGCATTAGGTTTCCTGCTTGGCTAAAATACTTGTCACACTGTTTGCACTTCAAAGACATGGATTTGCCTCTTCCTTTACACCCTTTCAACATAAAAGAGAGACATTATGTTTTAATCTTTCTAAAACAACATAATCGAGCTTGATTAAAGACGCACGGTCATGAGCTAACGAAAAGACCAAAAATATATTAATTTTGTACGTACAATCATCAAATGATGTAAACATTATTTTCAAAAGATATTCTTGTTTTGGTACACTGCAGTTAACCGTCTCATAGCGACCAGTTCTCGTAAGATGAAACTTTAGAAATAACTGTTTTGTTTCTCAGTCAAACACTGTTTCAACAATTCTCTCGTAAGTCACCACTACATTTATCTAAATTTCCGAAAGGACGACAACAACATTTTGGGCCAGACATTTGACAAATTCTTTTGGTAGCGACCACCTCGCACAATCACTTATGATGGTGAGAAAACTGTTGCTCAAATGTCGCAAAAAGTCATTGTTTTAATAGGGCTGACCAAAACAGTGCCGTTTACCAGCACCGTACAAACGACTTATTGACGAGATCAAGCAAAACTAACTATGAGAGAACAACTGGAGAACTGACAATTTGACTAACAATAGACGACTGTTTAACTGTGACAATAGACGGATCGAAACGCACCAATCACTGATTACGAGTCTTTATAGCCAATAACATCACGGCTTAACTGACAGACAACCAATAACATTGCGACATAATTGACCAATCAGATCAATAACCACGGTATAATACCATCAACTGACATGACACAACTCACTTTGACTCTGAAGATGACTACCACACAGGTTGTCGAAACGTCAGTCACTGTCAATAACAACAGTCCTATTCAGGACTACGTTCACCCGGACGATCAAACTCAACCTTTTGAAATGACTCCTGGGTTCAAACCTTTCACAAAATTGATTATGTTAAAGATCAAGCAGGTTGCAAAGAAAATCATTTTTACAGCTTGCCATTCAGGCAAGCTGAAGTTAGCTTTTACTAGTGCAGAGGTCATTTCAACTAGCCCCAGACGCTTTTTGACGAGCATAATTGAATTTATAGTTCTTCTGTTATTCGAATTGCTCAAAAAGCATCACTTGCTTGGTGGTGCAAGTGAACAACAGAATTTCACAAGCCCGATAGCAAAATCCACTATTCTCGGCTTGCACTGTCACGCAATGAAAAATAAAAATGCAAGCCATTCAGTACAGAAGGACTAGAATCTGGGAAATGAAAAAAGATAAATATACAAAAACCCTTGCCAAGAATCAGGTCTGTGAAATATTTCAAATGCGAGATATTGGGAAAAACGGTTTACCTAGATTTATAAGGCTTTGTATGGAAACGCCATGTTGGTGTCCCTTTCAGGAACACCAATATGGCCGCCGGATACTAACAGAAACAAGTTTTCCTACTAATGCGTGAATTCTTCGCTTGAGGAACTCATAAAGATTACAGTAATATTTCTTCTGAGACAAGGAATGTTTAGATTGCAACATCTCCCAAAATCGGTAATGTTTTTAACCCACATAAGAGCTTTCCCGGCCGCCAGCTAAATGCCGCGTCACGCAAAAGGCTGGAAATTCAAGCGTCCTCTCTCGCAAAACGAAGAACCCTTTGGAACCAAAAATTTGTTTATGTACAGGTGTTTAGATACTGTAATACCTCGTGAAAGTAGAAACTCAGAAGAATCGATAGTTTCCTAGTTTGATTTTTGGTGACGTCACGTGCAACCCAAGAATAGTCATCTTCAGAGTCAAAGTGAGTTGTATCACGTCAGTTGATGGTATTAGACTCTGGTTATTGGTCTGATTGGTCAATTACGTTGCGCAAAGTAATTGACCAATCAGACCAATAACCAACGAAAGGCGGTTGCTTATTAATGATACCATCAACTGGGGAAGCTGTCATTTATGTGGGCTAAAAGCCTGTTTTTCTGCTGTGTCGATCAATATTGTCACTCAAGTCATTCTAATATGTATAAATCATGCACTGAAAAACTTTTCTTACCTTGGTTGTTAGGTTTCGGGGTTGTGGATCAAATAAAAAGAACTCGAATTAAAAGTGCTCAATACTGTTTCCGAATGGCGTTTTGTATCAATGTCCCATACATGACGTACCTACCTTGGAAGTAGTACTCAGTCTGCCTCCGATAACAATGGGCACAAATGTAAACATACATTGTTTTATTTTTCTTTTCGTTCTTTTCAAAAACAGCGAAGAGAGCGCTCGAGAACGAGCGCGAGAAAGAAACATTTTTCTATCACCCGCGCTCGACGGACTTTGAAGAGAAAATAGAGGGTCTGTGAACAGGCTGCGTAGCATGGCGGTTTTGTCGTGCCGCGAGCCGTGGCCGGTTTTGTCGAGCCAGGCGCACGAGCGGCGAAGCGCGCGGACGAGTGGCAAAGCCCTCGCCCGCCTCTATTATTTAACGCGCCAAACCAAAACCGTCATGCTACGCAGGGTAGAAAAAGGTGGTTTCCGCTCACACGCCGATGTAAAATTGCTTCGTTCACACTTATTACACAGTGCCTTTATGCATCAGTCAATTCCAGCTGCGCCCAGCCTCCCCCCTCCCCGGGCTGACCCCCAGGCATTAGCATGTTTTTTGTCCTGGATGGCAAATTCCCGGGGGTAAAGGACTCTTGAGCTGTCAAATCCCCCAGGGTGGGGACGAAAAAAGAGGGCAAATGCCCTGTCCTCCGTCAAAACTGCAACATTTTTCATTGACCACACAGTCAGAGGGTCTGGATGGGGGGGGGGTACAAATGTCAGTTGTCAGTTAAAATTTTGGCCATTTGTCAGTTGTCAGTTAACCCCATCCACACCCTCAGTCGAGTAGTGTCATTTTAAGCATTTTAATGCGCGATTTTTTGTTTCAATTAACCTCTTCCTTTGTGATAGTGCTATTCTAAAGACTTCACGCCGTGACGACACCAGTTTATGGTTTTGAGTATTGTATTGTAAAATTATTGACATGAAAATCAATGGTGTGCTCTAAAGTTAACTGTTATGAATACTTTTATTAATTTGAAAGGATGTTGTTCAAATAATATAAACAGAAGTTTGATTCGATAACCAAAAACACGTTGATTTACGTCGATAGCTCCTGATCTTGAAACTCTTCAACTCAACCAAGTAATCAAAGGTGGCCAAACGAAAAACAAGTAACAATCCTTACTTAAAATTTATGGCAGCATAAACTGATGTTAATAAAACCGAGATCATGTCCTATGAAAGCACAGTCAGATTGACAAACTAGCAACAATAATGTCCCTGTTCTTTTGTCAAACAACGTTCAACATTTAAATAAGCTTTTGTACTAAGTAACTGTAGATACTAGTCCAAAGTACAAGAAAGAACAACGAACAGTAACTAGTTCGATTAAAATGTATCCTTCTCCTTTGACAAACTGGGCAAAGTCCACCGTAACTTAGCATGAGATATTTTCTAGACTCCACAAAGGTTCCATTCATAATATCACATGCTGATCACGCACATGTGCTCCTCTTATTGCCACACACTGTCGTTACCTAGTCAGTTCTCTTATGTCTTTGGTTCTTTCACAACAGTGTCCCCCCCCTTTTTCTGACTGGAACCTTTGTTTAGCTCTTTCATTTCTTCCTTATGCTCACTATATATTTCGCACGACCAGAATGTGTACCATTCAGCAATTATTATTGGATTCCTCTACTTCTTTATGTATATATATAAGATTAATCATTTTAAAAGTAACAATAAAATTCCAGGACTTTTCAGGATTTCCAGGACCCGTACGAAGCCTGCACTTATGTTATGGTATTATACTGGACTAGGTCACATTCATTCATTGGTTCCTTGGCTGTAGAACTACTGTTTTTCTAAAAGTAGTGGCAGGGAAGTACAACCCTGGCTGCACTTTACCCAAAGTAAGACTTAGCCCTTGGAGACAGGTCTGGAAAAATATCCACTCTAGGGTGTGGACCTCCAGTCCAACCTGATCTATACTCCACCCAGGAGGGTCACCCTTCCTGGTTCTCTTTAGTTCCTAGTGACTGGCAAATATGGGCCTCACCCCTGAAAACTGATCAGGACTCCTGCTCAGGGTTGCTACCCCAGTACCACTTGATCTTGTCTCGCCCCAGGAGAGCTTCTCTCATGGTCCCCTTACCCCACAGGGCTGACAAAAAGTTTTTAAGTAGCAGGCTGATAATGTACAGTAGGTGGCTTTGCAACTTGCACTAAAGGTACAAGTTCTTGAGGGCCGAGGCATCTAGGGACATTTTGAAAATTACTCTCAGAAATGGCCTTTCCATGCCATGTTGTTTGGTCAGAATACACATAAGGCTGGGAACAATGCTGTTGAAATGTCCCAGGCATCCATGGTTCGAATGTTTCACAGATCTAAACCTGTTTAAATATGCATTCAATGTTGATCAAAACTGAGAAACCGATACTTTACAATTTTATTCGATGGTGCTATATTTTGTTTGCAGTTATGATAGAAGAAGACGAGAGTAGCTGGCTAAAGATGCCTAACCGGCCGGCAGTTTTGGCAGGCTACCGGCCCTTATCAACAGCCCTATACCCCTAGATTGAAGTGCTTCCCTGCCACCAGAATTTTGCCCATTACTTTTTATACATGTAGTAGCAGTTATGGTTGAAGAGAAATAAAATTGACTACTACTACTAAAGAGCAAAGCATTTGTCAACTTTACAAGCCAACAGACCTTCGTTACGATGCAACTTTTTTTCTACTGTGACTCCTAGAGTTTCTTGATTGACAAAAACACTTATTTATGTTCAAAAGCCTTTTCCCCAGTGTGAACTTTTTCATGCCTCTTCAGCTCTCCAGATCGGCTAAAACATTTGCCACACTGTTTACATTCATAAGGCGTTTCTCCAGTGTGAACTCTTTTGTGAACCTTTAAGCTTCCTGATAGGCAGAAACACTTGCCACACTGTTTACATTCATAAGGCTTTTCCCCAGTGTGACCTCTTTCATGAATCCTCAGGCTTCCAGCATGGCTAAAACAATTGCCACACTGTTTACATTCATATGGCTTTTCCCCAGTGTGAACTCTTTCATGATACTTTAAACTTCCTTTTAGATGAAAACACTTGCCACACTGTTTACATTTATATGGCTTTTCCCCAGTGTGAATTCTTTCGTGAATCCTAAGGCGTCCTGTTCGGCTGAAACTCTTGCCACACTGTTTACATTTAAAAGGCTTTTCCCCAGTGTGAACCATTTCATGACGCCTTAAACTTCCCATTAGGCTAAAACACTTGCCACACAGTTTACATTCAAATGGCTTTTCCCCAGTGTGAACTCTTTCGTGACGCCTTAGACTTCCTTTTAATCTGAAACACTTGTCACATTGTTTACATTCATAAGGCTTTTCCTCAGAGTGAACTCTTTCATGACTCCTTAGGTTTCCAACATCTCTAAAACACTTGCCACACCGTGTACATTCATATGGCTTTACCCCAGTATGAATCCTTTCATGCCTCTTAAGTTTTCCTGCCTCACTAAAGCGCATGTCACACTGTTTACATTCATAGGGCTTTTCCCCAGTATGATTCCTTTCATGAATCCTTAGCTTACAAGGTTTACTAAAACACTTGCCACAATGTTTACACTTTACAGACATGTAGTGTAGCTTCCGTTGCAACCCTTCAACATAAAATAAAGACATCATTATTCAACTTTGTTAAACCGTTAAATCCAGCAAGATAAAAGAGGCACAGCCATGAGATATTGATAAGCACAATATGTATGTACAATGCAAATATTAAAATATTATTGTTTATGTTAAAATAATAATAACAATAAACTTTATAAATGTGTCATATAATGTTATTCTAGTTTGCAGTAATTGGGGACATGCACCTAACTACAGAAATTAGGATACTAATAAAGTACCTGTAGCTGTAAGAAGGTATTAACAGCTGTTGTCTTATGGTATTATATACCATGACCAAAGACAAAAACAAGTTTTGTCATTTTATGTCAAGGAAGTTGCTAAAAATACTTTTTTTAGCTTCACTGATTCTTCCCCAAAGAGCAGGAGGGAGGTTCTAACTTTCTGAGCAAAAATATATATTGTAGCTGAGAGTGGTATGTAGCTTATTCCTTATGAAAAATCTGCATACCAGTAAAATCAGTATTTTATCATTGTAAAAATGACTGTAAGAAGAACTGAAGCAGTGTCCACACAAATTTAAAATCCTTCTTCAGAACATAATTGTCCATTTGCCAATCAGAAATGCCCTTCTGGCAATTTGTTGAGTCAACAAGGATCTCAGTACTACTTCACAAACGTTACTAACTGAAGTTAAATTATGTCTGTGACACAGGCTAGTTTTGTAATGCCTTATCCTATTTGCATCAATGTTCAGAATTTTTTATAGATATTTTTAAAAATCAAACACCTGTTTCAAATTTTAGGCTAAACAGGTACTTGTAAAGAGGGTAACTTACTGGCAAATTTGAGGCTAGTGGGTTCTTAAAGTAAATCCAAGTTAGTTTTAATAGTAGACAAAAAATCTTAAACTGTTAATTATTGCATGGGGGTACAATTTTCTTGTGAAATTATTATTTTTCGGAGGGGGTTGCAAATTGGTATATCACATTTTTCACAGAACAGTCAACCCTCTGGGACCCAATAAACGATCACCCTTTAATTAAATGCTTTTAAAGCACTTTCTTATCAAAATTTTTCATTTCTTCATTTCAACATAAATTATTTCAAAATCAGTGTAAAATAATCATCGCATACACAATTTGCATATTCCAACACAAATCAACTTGAAGGACTTTATGACCTCCACTTGCTTGAATCGTTAAACTATTTATGTCATGAGTACATAAAGAGCTTGCATCGCCTGCAATCAAGGTTGAGTTACGTAACAACCTGAGCTCAAATCCAGTTTCAACACCAGTCAATCAAAAGTTGGACTTCGAGACCAATAAAACAACAAGAAGAAGAAATCTGCTGCAATTTTAGGATTTCTTAAACAACCGTGTACTTCCAAGTGTAATATCTGTCTAAATAACAGGGTGCAGAGGAGTTATTCATTTCCTAGACTGCAGTCAAACTTGAAAAGCAGTTGACAGCAGAAATCACCTTTGTTTACTGTACAGAGGTCAGGGTGCAAAGAAACTCATTTTTACAGCTTGCCATTTGGGCAAGCTGAAGCTAGCATTTACTAGCCCAGACTTCATTTTCAACTAGCCCCAAAAGCTTTTTGATGAGCAGAATTGGTTTCACAGTTCTTCTGTTATTTGAATTCCTCAAGAAACATCACTTGCCCATCGGGCAAGTTAAAAACAGAATTCAGTGGCCCGATAGCAAAATGCACTAGCCCCGGGCTATCGGACACAAATTTCTTTGCACGCTGAGAGGTGGTGAAGTGCTTTGAAATGTGAAGGGACTCATCTTCCACTCAGCCATATGCATACCCCTACTTAAATTTTCCAAAAAGGCCCTTTGCGTCGTTGTTGCCCTTTGTGTTGTTTGTTGGCACAAGCAATTTTCACAGTGTCTAGTGTGCCTATTTGTGACAATGCATCAGCAGCTAGTTTTTTTCAGGCGATCATGTGTAATTGTGCTTCTTAGGTAGCTCTTGAGTCATCTGAGGGCAGAAAATATGCACTCTGAAGCAGGAGCATTAATAATTTTGATAGTTGATTAAAATCGATCGTTGTCAATAAATATCAAATCAAAAATCTGGTAAAATATGGTATCCCTTTCACACACCTTGTTTAGAACCTTGCATCCCTTTTAAATGCTGTAAATGCACTGTCTTTTTTAAAAAGGAATCAATCACAAAAATAGAAAAATTTCCTGACCTTAAAAAAGCCGTAAAATTCATCTGTTAGCCCTATTGGGCTCTTTCACAGACCCATGCCAAATGACAGATTTCCCTAAACTTTTCGGGCGGAGCCCCCCTGCACAGGCCATCAGAGGGGGTACCTCCCTCTCCAGATTGCAATAAGTCTCAAATTGAGAGTCTGTTGTATGCATACTGAATCATTATTTCTTGAAGTGAATAAAAGCATTGAATTTTTTATAACAGCCAAAAAAAGGTTGTGCCTAGATCTGGATATAAAACTACATGAGGTTTTTATGTCCGGGAAAGTGATGATTACTCCTGCCCCTAAATCCAAACATTGATACATACAAAAACAAATGTGACTGACACTATCAACGGTAAAATTTACGCTTAACTGCAATCAAAGTCTTCTCTGTGTCCTGTGTCTAAATCTGGACGTTACATGTCGATAGAAATCGATCGTCGGAAAGCTAGTCGATATTAAAGTCTACAGTGTTCAATACTTAACAATAACTGTTGATTGATCAGTTAAATGTGTCGATAAAAGTGGATAATCACAATATTCTAAGGACAAGTAATCAATTTTGATTAAGACCTCTGAGACTTTTCAGAGAATATTTGATGAGGATTTTAATATGTAAACTGTACACAAATGCTGTGTAAGAAGAAGGATTTGGAGGACGCAGTCTTCGAATGCACACGGATGCTACCCATTTACAAACCAGTGCCGTAGCCAGACCAAACGGCCAACCGAGGCAGGCGGGAGTTGCTAGGGGGGTTCGGGGGCATGCCCCCCCGAGAAATTTTGAACTTTAGTCTCTTGGAAATGCGATTTGCAGCGTTTTCTGGGCCTTTCGGTAACTTTTTTTCGAGTTAATTTAAGTGGAATTTAAAAAGCAATAATCAGAAACAAGCTACATAATCTGGGTGACCGTTAACCTCGCCAATGGTTTTGATCAGTATTTGTTCAAAAAAAAATTTGAGTTAAAGTACGTAGCCCCTTGAGATCGATGATATGGTAATTTTTTCATAGTATATTGACTGAATTGCTGAATTCTTTGTAATATCATGATGCGTTAAAAATATCCCATGCTTCTTAAAGCACAACAAACACCGAAGGGCTCACAAGCCTGGACAGATTATAAGAAGGCAAGAAATCACTGCACTAATCTCCTTAGATCAGCAGAGTCAAATTACTGGCTATCAAAATTTGACGAGACGACCTCTGCAAAAGATTTTTGGAGGACCGTAAGATCTTTTGAGGGAAAGCTAACAACTACAAACATCGGTCCAATTAAAGATAATTCTGGAGTTATTCACTCAGACGACACATCAAAGGCCAATGCTTTAAATTTCTTTTTTTGTCAATGTTGGAAAATTTCTTTCAAATCAATACAAGACTCTTTAATAAACTCTCCTTGTCAGTCTGCAAGAAATAACAGTGAAATCCCTGTTCTTTCTCTCTCTAACATAGCCCTTAACAAGGATCTTCTGAAATCTTCTCTGAAGTGTTTGAAACCTGGCAAGGCAAGTGGTCCTGATGATATTTCAAGCAGGGGACTGCGCCTTATTGGAGATGTATTTTTTGGACTGCTTTATGCCACTGGCTCAAAGAAGTATTTTGGAATGCAAATTCCCAAGCCAGTGGAAGCAGGCACAGGTGAAATGTCTTCACAAGAAAGGGAGCACTCTCGACTGCGGAAATTACAGGCCGATCTCCCTTCTCAGCATTCCGGGCAAGCTATTAGAGAATGTTGTAAGCCAACAACTTGACAACTTCTTATATGGCAACAATCAAATCTCTTTAAATCAATGGGGCTTCAGAAAAGGAGGCTCACCTGAACTTCTTTTACTCTCACTAACAGAACGATGGCGTTTGGCCCTGGATGAAAGCAAGGTTATTGCCGTAGTCTTCATTGACTTTCAGAAAGCGTTTGACTCGTCAACCATACAGTTCTCATCGATAAATTACACTCTATAGGCATTAGTGGCTCCTTTTACGATTGGCTCCTAAATTACCTCGAAAATCGTAAACAATTTGTAACTGTAAATGGTTCTAACTCAGAATTTTTGGAAATAGATACTGGTGTGCCTCAGGGGTCTTTACTCGGTCCCAGATTTTACAGTATTTACTCAAATGATTTACCTGAAGCCACAACAAATGCTTCTGTTGAAATGTTTGCGGATGATACCACAGTTTTTTGTATTGGAAATACTGTTGATGAAGTCTTATCTAAAATTCAGGAGGCGATCGCCGACTTAAACAAATGGGCTATGGTTAACTTCATGACTATTCATCCTGCAAAAACCGAATTGATGTTGTTATCTAAATCACAATTCATCGGGCCCTTACAGAAAATATGTTTAGGGCAAAAGGAGTTGTCCTTTGTCTCTAAATCTAAATGTTTAGGGATTCAAATCGATAATAAACTCTCCTGGTCGCCACATATCAAATCCTTGAGCAAACGTTTTTCAGCAAGAGTGAAGAAACTGAAACACTTAAAAGGTCTCGACAGTCGCATCTTAGAGTCAATTTATTTCAAAGGTATCATTCCAAGTATTACGTATTCAATTGCATTATGGGGATCTTCAAAATCTCTTCAGACCCTGGAGGACATTCACATCGGAGCAGCGAGATTTATTTTTAACATAAAGAATTCTACTCTTAGCACTGAGGTCCTGGCAGCGACAAAATGGAAGTCTTTATCATACATGTACAAAAAGAGGATTGCAACCATATCTTATCAAGCATTTTATAACAGGGCTCCGGCTGGTATAAATTCTTTATTTATTAAACATTCTCCATTAAGAAATCTCAGGGACAGTCTGAAACTATACGTGCGTTGCCCTAAAAGTGACTTCCTTCGATCTTCCTTCTCTCATCGTGCGTCTATTCTATGGAATAACTTACCCATGTACTTAAAGAGCAAACCCAATATTGGTTCTTTTAAATCTGCTCTTAAAGAAAAATCTGACATTTTAGATAAAATAACATTTAATGGGTTACAGGGAATAAATAAAGATATTGTAAATTATATATATTAAGGCAACAGTCAACTGTTGTTTATCTTGCTAGGTATTGTTTTATTTTTCCTTACTCATTGTAAATAATTCATTGGTTTGTTAATATTATTAGTTACTTTTTTTGTAGATACTTTTTAGTTTGTAGGTCCACATCAGCTCTTTAGCTGCCTCTTTTTTCACTGACCTACATGACAAATAAAGTATGTATGTATGTATGTATGTATGTATGTATGATCGCTTATGTAAAATAAAAATGATCGGCGAAATTCGTCAAAATTTTACCGAGGCGAGTGCCTCGGTTGGCCTCATACTAGCTACGGCGCTGCAAACATATATTAATACTGTTCGAACGAATCTGGAGACGAATGTTGCAAAAGCTCAAGTAGACTTTTAAGAAAGTCCTTCGTCTGATTTAATGCTGGTGCAAAACAGATGTAAATATTTTGAATGTTGCTTTTGATCAACTTTTTTAATTCCAGATAATCGAATTCTGACACCAATTTCGATAGGAATCAATAATCACAAGAAATTTATCGATTTCAGATATCTGTCGATTGATTACTATCGACATTTAATTTCATTTAACGACAATCGACTATCGAAACTACCGACGTCCTGCTTCAGAGCAAACAATTTCTGCCTAGCTCAGATGACTCAAGAACTATCTAAGAAGCACAATGAAGTAGGACCGCCTGAACAACTGCCAAGTGGCGCATTGTCACAATTCGATAACGGACACAATAGACACTGAAGATTGCTTGTGCCAACGAACAACGCAAAGGGTACTTTGAAAATATGCGTATGGCTGAGTGGAAGATAATTTAAGTACCCCCCGCGTTTCAAAACGCTCCGCAGCCTCTGTTGTATGAATCAATTCTGTCATTTAAGTCATTCTAATATGGATATATCATGCACTGAAAAACCTTTTCTCACCTTGGTTGTTAGGTTTCGGCGCTGTGAATCATTTCTGAATTGCATTTGTATCAATATTTCCATACATGACGTACCTACCCAAGATGCTCTGTCCATCTAGTCCCGTATCCCGCCAGGGGCCCGTTTCTCGAAAGTCCCGATAATTAACGGGCCCGTAAAGCTGTTGTTGTTTACATGCAAGATAGAGGTTTCAATAGTTTTGCATTCAACATGATAAAACTATCAGTTAATGAAACAAAATGGAGCAGTTTGTTAGCCAGGACCCGCGCTCTTATTCTTTGTATTTCGATTTGATAATTTGATGTTGGGCCCGAAAAGTTACCGGGACTTTCGAGAGACGGACCCGGCAGGACTGTTACTGGTTTCTGGAAAGTCCCGATAACTTTTGGGGCCCGAAAAGCGCTTTTGTGTTTATCGCGTTTGCATTCAAGATCAAAGTTTCAATAATTTGGAAAACGACACAATGAAATTATCAGTCAACGAAGCAAAATTAACCGGTTCGTGAGCTAGGAACTTTACTGCAATTTTAAAACTGGTTTTGATTTCGAATTTGCCTTCGGACCCGAAGAACGGGCCCCTGGGCAGGTATAACGTTACGTATAACGTGGATGAGGTTCGGAAAATTCCGTCTTCCCCTCCCCAGCCCCAAATAAGGATAAAAATATAAACATAATTAATTGTCTAAAATAAATAAAGAAGCGCGTGAACACTGCTCGCATCACATTTCAATTAGCGTTAGAAAAGGAAGGGAAAGGAGCCGTTTGGAGCGGGCAGGCGCAAACAGACAGGCTTAAATTATTGAGCTCCGGGGTATTAAACTTAACCACGATTAAAGTGGTAGAAGTTATTCATTCATCCGATGACGATCTACTGCATTCACTGCCATGATTAAGCTGTTTATACTAACGCGAGATTTATGCGCGAAGCGCGCAAATACAAGCTGGAAGGGAGTGTGACAGTCTCTGATTTCTTTTACGTTAGACACTCTGTTTAACTGAGTGGTCGCGTGGATAATCCAAAAAGTGGTCGCAGTCACTCACGAGAGCTTTTTATTACGATATTTAAGTCACAGTTAGCCTGCGTAGCAAGCGTTTCCGTTTGGTTTCGGAGTAAAGAAAGACAGAGGAACGGGATTCTCGATTTTGGCCGCGCGAGAAATGAAACGAGAGCGAAAAAATGAAAGTGGGTGGAGGGGGAGGGGAAGGTCTCCTCTCTTCCCCACCCCCTCCCCGCTCTTTCACTTACGCCATTTTTCGCGCGGTCTTTGACTCTCGTTCCTCGTTGTTTGTTCCTAAACCGCACGGAAACGCATGCTACGCAGGCTAAGTCACAGTTCAAACGGGGTTTATTGGCACCTCCCGGGGCTCCTCTCTTCATGTCACGCAACGCCGGGAGAGACATCCTCGTTCCTTTTGGTCAGCATTGGGGACCAAAGGATCGAAACTCTGAAAACGAGAATGTTCTCGACATAGACTGGACTAGCAGGTAATGCCAGGTTAGTCGCGTTGAAAGTTTTGTCCTCGCCTAGCGCAGAGAATATAGATTCACCGGAGATTTGATGTAACGACCGAGCCAGACTGAGTACGACTTCTTGGGTAGGTACGTCATGTACGAGACATTGTTAAAACGCCATCCAAAATAGACGCTCAAGATCACAGTTCTTTCTGTTTGAACCACAACGTCGAAACCTAAAATCCAAGGTAAGAAAAGTTTTTTAGAACATAAGATATGCTCCTCAGAATGACTTAAGTAACAGTATTGATGTCCACTGCATAAATGGCGGACAAGTTGTAGACCTTGTCATGGTTTGGAAGCCATCTTGGCGCTTGAGAAATGAGAATCGTATGTCAAATAATTTCCGTCAAACGGCTGTTTTGAAAAAAGTATGAGTGGTTACCTAAAGCTACACAGCGAAGGATTGTACTGACTTTTTTTTTTTGGACCGTACCTGTGCTTAAATTTCTCCAGACGCTTGCTTTAGATTTCCCACATATTTCTCACGCGGTTGCTTACACGTCAAGATTGCTTCCAAAACCATGAAAAGGTCTATTGTGACAGTTGACTCCTGATCTCGAACCCTCGCTAACTTGAATCAGAATCAATTTCCCTTGGATTTGTGTCATATGTTTACAGTAATTTTACCCTCGGTAACTTGAACCTCCCCCTAACTCAAGTAATTTTTGTTTCTTGCAGACTATTTTTAGAAGCTTCTAATTCACCTAATCTTTACCCTTGACAACCTGAACCACGTTTTACGTCGAAAAAAATATTGTAGTGAAGTCCTAAACACTGAATTTAGCGTCAATTATTTGCCTTTTGCAGGGGTGGTGGATCAGGTGGGGGGTGTTGGCTGGGGGTCTTAGCAAGCGCACTTTTCTGAAGGAAACAATCAGGCAGGCCAGTGTTCTAACAGCGGGATATATGGAAGGCCAAGAAATATGTCTCAAGTTTACAAAATCTCCATGATATTTCTAGAGAATGGCAGTACCTCTCATTTTACACTTTATCCAGGTTGCATTTTTTAAAGAAATATCTCAAAAGAGCGTTGAAAATGCCATTTCCGAGGACCTGTCTTTTGGGCGTGGTAAAAAACATTTCTAAATAGCCTCATTACTCTTATGAAATAAATAAATAAAACTATAAAATAACAACATTAAATACTTTCTAAGGTACTTTATTGTTATAACTACTTTGGCAGTTGGTAGGTGTCCCTGATTACTTTATGTTTGCAAACCAGAATACAGTTTCTAACATAACACATTAACAAAGTTATTTACGGTAATGATTTTATTTTCTTTTGAAGGGTGTACAATCGAAGTGGCACTCCATACTCCATGTCTTTAAAGTGTAAACAGTGTGGAAAGTATTTTAGCCAAGCAGGAAGCTTAAAAACTCATGAAAGAGTTCACACTGGAGAAAAGCCTTATGAATGTAAACAGTGTCACAAGTGTTTTAGCCAAGCAGTTCAGCTAAGGAATCATGAAAGAGTTCACACTGGGGAAAAACCATATAAATGTAAACAGTGTGACAAGTGTTTTAGCCAAAAAGGAAGTCTAACATGTCATGAAAGAATTCACACTGGGGAAAAGCCTTATGAATGTGAACAGTGTAGCAAGTGTTTTAGCCATGCTGGAAGCCTTAGGATTCATAAAAGAGTTCACAGTGGAGAAAAACCATATAAATGTAAACAGTGTGACAAGTGTTTTAGCCAAAAAGGAAGTCTAACAAGTCATGAAAGAATTCACACTGGGGAAAAGCCTTATGAATGTAAACAGTGTGGCAAGTGTTTAAGTGATGCGGTAGGCCTAAGGATTCACAAAAGTCTTCACACTGGGGTAAAGCCTCATCAATGTAAACAATGTGGCAAGTGTTTTAGCCGATCAAAAGACCTAAGGAGACATGAAAGAGTTCACACTGGGGAAAAGCCTTATGAATGTAATCAGTGTCACAAATGTTTTAGCCAAGCAGCTCAACTGAAGAGACATGAAAGAGTTCACACTGGGGAAAAGCCCCACAAATGTAAACAGTGTGACAAGTGTTTTAGCGAAGCAGGAAAGCTAAGGATTCATGAAAGAGTCCACACTGGGGAAAAGCCATTTGAATGTAAACATTGTGGCAAGTGTTTTATCGAAGCAGGAAAACTAAGGATTCATGAAAGAGTTCACACTGGGGAAAAGCCATATGAATGTAAACAGTGTGGCAAGTGTTTTAGCCGGTCAGGAGACCTGACAAGACATGAAAGAGTTCACACTGGGGAAAAGCCTTATGAATGTCAACAATGTGGCAAGTGTTTTATCGAAGCAGGAAAACTAAGGATTCATGAAAGAGTTCACACTGGGGAAAAGCCTTATGAATGTCAACAGTGTGGCAAGTGTTTTAGTGAAGCAGCGAAGCTAAAGGTTCATGAAAGAGTTCACACTGGGGAGAAGCCATTTGAATGTAAACAGTGTGGCAAGTGTTTTGGTGTAGCAGGAAGGCTAAAAATTCATGAAAGAATTCACACTGGGGAAAAGCCATTTGAATGTAAACAGTGTGGCAAGTGTTTCAGCCGATCAGGAGACCTAAAGAGACATGAAAGAGTTCACACTGGGGAAAAGCCATATAAATGTAAACAGTGTGGCAAGTGTTTCAGCGAAGCAGGAAAGCTAAAGGTTCATGAAAGAGTTCACACTGGGGAGAAGCCATTTGAATGTAAACAGTGTGGCAAGTGTTTTAGCCAATCAGGAGACCTAAAGAGACATGAAAGTGCTCACACTAGGGAAAAGGCTTATGAATGTAAACAAGTGGTTTTGTCAATCAGGACACTTTAAGAGTCACTCAAAATCCACAGCAAAAAAGTGTCACATAAATGTGATAGTAACAAGGGTCTTTTTAAGAGTTTGCATTGTAAGGTTAAGAGGGCAGGATTGACTAACAGAACACTGTTAGAGAGCATCTGTCAAGAGGAGATGAGTACTGAATCTCTTCTTCTTCAACATTATGAAAACCGTATGAGGCATGTTGCTGTAAAAGACTCACAAAATTAACAAATGCTCGAGTCTGAGTGTTGTTAAATTTTGTTTGGTTTTTGTTGGGTTTGCATTTACATGTAAGCTGCATAAACTATCTGTTTTGTCACCTTTGATTAATTGGTTGCGTTGAGTTTGAATTGTGTTTCCCGTAAATGGGTTTTAAAAAAGTTCTTGAAATATATTAATGTTGACGGTTTTGTACATTGGCAATTCAATTTGTTGGTGATCTTTTAATAATTCTAGTGACAATCACACCACTAGTGAAATTAGATGATAAAGAAAATGTTCAGACTTTGAGCGCTGAGGTCGTTGCTTGATGGATCAAAGAACTGCCATTCTCCTGCCAGTCCTAATAGGTAAACAATTTCGGATTTAAACTGAAAGGAGGAGATCTTTCTTACACTCCTCGGATTGTTGGTACAGGCTACTTTTTTACTTTATATACCTTTTATATATTATCTAAACCCGTAGAGTAGCTTTTCTTCAGAGATAATAAAGCGCTTTTATGCTTCATACAATGAGTAGGTTGTCAAATGTTAGACTACGAGTAGTACCCCATTTTTCCTCAGGGATAGTAGAGCGAGCGAAACGCGAGGGCGTGTGAAAATCACCCGACGCGAGAAAAGGCGACACGCTTTTTCTCGCGAGGGGTGATTTTCACGCGCGCTCGCATTTCGCTAGCTCTACTATCCCTGAGGAAAAATGGGGGACTACTCGTAGTCTAGTCAAATGTTGCCAAGAGTTGTGCAAAGCTACCTTTATAGGTGTTATACCTTTGATGTTCTAAACATCGCTTTTGGTTGCTGAATTTTGTCACCCATCCGGGAGAATTTTGTCACCCAATAGCACTATGTGTTTTTTTTACGTGACCCACGAACTGATGCACAAAATCAGGCTAAGTAATAAAGTGTGGCACTCTTTCATTTTAGTTCACCCCCTACTCCCTACTCAACCCACCCCCCAAATCATGTGAACGTGAATCAAAGCCGAAAAAAAATAGTCCCTTAGTTTTGTTTACGTGACCCGAGAATTGATGCACACAATCAGGCTAAGTGATAAAGTATGGGACCCTTTTATCTTGGTTCACGTTAACGTGAATCAAAGCTGAAAAAATTGTCCCTTGTGTGTTGTTTACGTGACACGTAAACGGATGCACGCAATCAGGCCAAATAATTAGGTATGGGACCCTTTCATCTTGGTTCCCGCCCCCCCTACTAAACCGACCGGCCCCTAAATTATAACGTAACCAATGGACCAATGTACAAGATAAGTAGTGGTAGAGGGGTGATTTATTCCGTTTTGGTGCCTAGCAAGTGCCTAGTCCTGCATACCAATTTTATAAGTGTCTAGTCAGCGTCCAGCTAACTAGATAAAATTGCGTTCCTTCACACTAATCGAAGTTTGACCGGTTTTTGAAATATGTTTATCGTGACATTGACCGTCCTATTGATTGGCTCCGCCAGAAGAAGTTGGAGCCTGGTTGCCCTGCGGCTTTCCCAGTTCCCAAGTAAATGGTCATAATTTGTCCTGTCATCTGCGCTGTTTTTTCTTTTTGGACTGCCTCCGGTTTTCGTTCCTTTTTGTGAAATTGCCTCGTTTTTTGTTGCTGTTTGCGAGTAGGCGAGGTTCGATACCTCAGCGAGTTTGGCGGACGGGTTCCCCCTCCATACAGGAGCCGATTACTAAGTAATCGGCTCCTGCTCCATACTGTTTTTGTGCTGTTGTGTGTGTGTGGCTGTTGCTAGGATGTCGTTTAGCGCCATTGCACTCACCCCACCGAGGGGGCGGCCACTCACCTTAAATATAAAAGAGGTTAGTCTTTTCCTCGAGATAGAACGAAGAAAACCATGGTCAGCATAATACACATTGTACTGTCGCAATTTGTAATAATCATCGCACTTTGTAATACCTGTCGCAGTTTGTAATAAATTCATCGCAATTTGTAATACTTGTCACAATTTGTAATAAACCGTGTCACACTTTGAAATGAAAAAGCTGTCGCAGTTTGTAATAACTGTCCATCGCACTTTGTAATAAACTAACCTGTTGCAAAAAAGCCTTTAAAGATCTAATTTCCAGCCCCCTTTCAATTTAGGCGCTCGGTCAATATATTTTGCGTTATACTGTGTAATGAAATGTTTTTAGGAGGTAAAAAGATAATTTACATCAACTGCAGTGATTAACAGTTCAGCAGAGGTAGTAGGGAGGGTGGATAAAGTCTTGATCCTTATAAAGCTACTCCGTTGAAAATTTAATGTACGGACCGGTGTTCACGCGTTTCTTTATTTATTGGTACTATTATTATTATTATGCCTTTTTTTTTTTTGGCTTGTCGTCTCCCGGGAGTTTCCAACTACAGTCTTGTAAGCGATCGCATGGTAAAGCAATAGGGGGTTGTTCCTTATAAGAGCTTCAGAAAGTAATTGCGCATAAAGAAAAAACAAAAGGAAATACTGTTTAATAAGTATCTTTATATAAGCTTATATACACACGGCTAAACTTTACGTCCAATTTTTACCACTATCGAAGACTGCACTTTCATCGAAGTTTTGATTTATATCAAAACAACTCTCGCTTTTATACGAGCGCTTAAAAACGAAGTCCAAGGAACCCAAAGGTCCAGTTGGGTAATTCCAAAAGAGGTCGCAGTCGCTTACGAGAGCTTTTCATTACAAAGTTTAAGCATGGATAATAGTGATGGTTTAAGTCACAGTTCTAACGGGGTTTCACCCGGGGGTTTCACAAATGTGGTAGTAACTATTGGTCGCTTACGAGTTACAAGAGTGGTCGAAAGGAGAGTTTCGATTGTCCTCATGCACGTTATTAGACTTTCTCAAAGTCATTCGCTTCCCATTTCCGGTTCAGGTAGTTGGCCCAAAAAACATGAAAAATCTTCCCGCTCGCGCTTCGTGCTCGTGAAAAAAATTGAGCTCGACTTGTCAGGGACACTCAACGACGGTTTTCTCCTAAATGCATTGAAAACACTTTTTAGACTATCCAAAGTACTTTTAGATCTTTAGAAATACATTTTCTTTCGGCGCTATAAAAATTTATATCTGTTCGGTCATCCTAGGGCAATTTGAATCTTTTCGAAATTACAAAGGCTTGAGTATTATTTTCCCGAAAATTTTAAATGCAATTTAAAGTTTTACGAAAGTGAGAATTTTTCTGATTTCTCTTTCCTTCGCATTTTCGAATCCGAAAATTTTAGGTTTCTTTTTCTGTGAAAAATAGCTTAATCCGTGGAGTGAAATGCAAAAACTAAAACTTCAGAAAATGAAAGGGGATTATTAGATAAACTTCGATAATATACATGAATGAAAAAGTCATCTAGAAATTCTGAGCCTCCCTCAAGGTATAGAAAATTCTAGGCAATTTTTGCTTCTCCTAACAGATATTTTACAGAAAACAGCCTTTGAGTGCCCCTCACTTCGGTTGTTTGGCAAGACTAGCACGTTGTACGTGCCTAAGTTTTGTCCGAGCCAGTCTGAGCACTACTTTTTGGGTAGGTACGTCATGTACTGGAACATTAAATATAAACAGACGGACAGTTTTTCTCCACTCACACGAAGTAGTACCCTCCTAGTCTCTCTTCACTCAGAGTTCTCGACTTTCGATCCACAACGCCGAATCCCAATAACCAAGGTAAGAGAAGCTTTTCATTACATGATACATACAACTAAGAATGGCGTAAGTGACAGGTTTGAACGAAACAACAGCAAAGATGAGCACAGAGATTGACATGACTTGAGGGTTCACCCTTATTTATCTGTTCTTACAAATTAGCGAATTTCGTATTTATTGGACTCGTAGCCCTGCGTTTTGAGCTTTTCAAACTCTTAAATACCGTTTTGTACATAACTCAGTCTTGATGTTATGCGGTAACCGGTCTTTCCGATACATAGTCGCTCGCATAACTGTTTTGCACGGCCAGTCCATGGACTGTGGTGAAGTTTATCGATTAGGGTTAGAAAACTGAGTGAATCAAGTTCCATTATAAATCATTACAGTTGATTCCCGATAACTCGAAGCATCGCTAACTCGAACCTCGCGCTAACTCAAACCATAATCGATTTCCCAAGGATTTCCTTTATTGCTGGTTCGCACTTGACGTCACGGCAGCCGTGTTGGTGGTCAAGAACAAAAGCATTTCTCTCCTCTGGGAACTAAACTCTATTTTCGTGTTTATTCTTCGAGAAAAATTTCTATTGTATTGACCCCCCAACATGGCCACCTTGTCATGTGTTTGCAAACCAAGAATGCATTTACTGTAATTTTACCCTCGGTGATTCGAACCTTTGATAACTTGAACCTTCCGCTAGCCTGTGTACAGCCGCCCCTCGGGTACCCGCCTATAAGGCTAGCCCAGTCGATTTTGAAACCCAAATTTTATTCCGTAGATAAGACCCTCCGAATATAAGCCCCTCAAAAAGGGTCTTTGAAAAATATAGGCCCCGGGGCTTATTCTCTGAATTTTACGGTAGCTGGTGATTAGCTGATCTGTTGACTCGAGTCAGAAAGGGAGTGGCCACATCACCCATGTAGATCTTATAAAACATGCTGGCTTGAAGGAGAAGTCTACGATCTTTCGGTGAGTCCCATCCCAGGCATTCCAACATCGGAGAAACATGGCTAAAAGTCGAGTACTCATTAAGAACAAATCGGGCTGACAAATCATGATGACAAAAATCCAATGATTCTGGCACTTTTTCTGCGCTGACCAAAGTCCCAACGTTTAATCGTCGACCCTTTTCGAAGTGCATGCTTACATGGGGAATGTATGACGACAAAAATGAAAACCACTCGCAAAAATAACCTTTCAGTGATCTTCAGTTTTCTCCTCTCGTCCCATCGCTTCATACGGCTCAGTCTGGTAAAAATGTCCATAAAGCCTTGGTTAAGGTGATTCCCTAGTTTTGCACTGCGCATCTCTTACTGCGCATAACAAGATGGCCGCCGTAAAAAAGAGCATGTAAAGTAATATTATTAAAATGGAGTTGACTGAAAAGAAACGCTATTGGAATTTTTGCTTGCTGTTGTTTCTTGCCGAGGTGAGACTCAATGTGTTGGGAATGTGCATAACGTAAGCAGTACGCGTGTTGCTGAAGTCGACCTCCTCTCGGAGAACCTCGATAGCTTGTGCTTACTCACTTTGATTTTCATTTAAACACTTTCTTTATCACATTGTGTCCTAAATGTGATACCTCAATGTAAATTCTGTAAAAACGGATTTTTCAATACTTTCTTCCCCCTTTCACATACATTCTATTTTGAAACTCGCCCCAGTCCTCTCTCAAAAATCGGAGAAAATGCGTTTGGTGCGCACTTTCTGCAACTCTACCGCAAAAACGAGTACGGTGACCCCCATTTTTTATTTTATGATTTTAATAAGGACAGTGCTTCCTTTCGATGAGAAAAAAATTGGCACAAATCTATGTTCAGTTTTTTTGCAATTTTACTAAATTGTACGGATTGAGCCATCACGGGTCGAAAAGCGCTCGTCCAATTTAATTCTACTTTGGAGCGTAAAGTAAAAACAAGGGCATTAAAAGGCATTTTTCTGGTACGTAAGTGGATAAACAATACATTAAAGTCAAATTCTGTGTGATGTCACATGCATCATCGAAAAAATCTCTCCTTTTTGTCTAGTTTTGCGCTGCCCGCGGTTTTTGTAAAAGGGTCCTAAATAGCCGTATTTGTCAGCATTGTGACGTCAAAACGAGCACGGTGACCCCCACTTTTTATTACTTTTTTATCATCTTCTTGACTTGTTACATCAGTGTACCAAGTTTTAGCTAAAATCTATGTTAGGTTCTTTTACTATGGAATCACCTTAACTGCACACCGAACGAAAACAATTTTTTTGAACAAAAACATGTCTGACTGAGGGTCTCCTTTACCCCTTTGAAGTTACGTAAAAATATAGACACTTTTCACGCTTCACGAATAATTCATAAAATTTCTCTACGATCATGTAAAAACTGAGTAATTCCCTTTTCCCGGAAAGAAATGAGGGAGTATAACTCTCATTGTACGTGCCTAAGATTTTTACCATTGTCCGAGCCAGTCTGAGTACTAGTTTCTGGGCAGGTGCTTTATGTACGGGAACATTAATACAAAACGCTGTTTGGAAAAAAACGGTCACAATCACTTGATCTTTTGTGTTGCTCAACGTAACTGCGCGGAAACCTTATTAACAACGGTAAGAAAGGCTTTTTAGTGCATGTTGTATACATATTAGAAGAATAACTTGAAGACAGGATTGATCGACACAGCAGAAAAGACGAGATTTTAGCCCACATAAATCACAGCTTCCCTGGCGGGTGATTTGTGCTGCTTTATAATTCAGATAACTGCCTGTTGGCTATTCGCACGAGACCCGTACACCAACTTGTGTTTGCTTTTCACACCGCATTCTGACTATATTGATTAGGGTTAAGCGCTGAAAATAGTAACAGATTTAATAGAGTTAAAAACTGACCATACTGATTAGCTAGGGTTTAATAAGCACTCACTCGAAACGGTCAGCTTCTTAGATTAGGTTAGAGTTGTTGCTATATTGAAATCAGTGTTGAATAATAAAACTGAGCCATTGTTTTTAGCAATCAGTGGATGTGAAAAATTTTAGAGCTTTTGAAAAAAAATGGTAAATGACGCATGACTTAATTGTTCTCTCCAAGTGGACTGTATGTATTACAGCAGGTGGTAAATGCAACCAGGCGCACTGTTGTATAATTTTTGTGTCAGCTTAGAAATGAAGATGGATAGATAGTTTTAATAAACGCTGTGGCTATATGGCCGGTAACTGGTCAAGGTTTTCAAAACACTAAATGGCCGGCAGTCCTAATAATTATTTCTCAATAAATTTGACAAATCAGAAACTCCAGCTAATCTAAACTATCATATGTCCATTTTTATTTAAGAAAAGTCAAGCGATCCTGAAATGCTTCATATATCTCAAGTTTAGTGTTTGGTTTACACTGGGCTCAGAAAATGAAACCATGTTTTGTGACACTTAGAACTTTTTTCAGGTCGACTGCCGGTCAAGGTTTTCATAACACTAAATGACCAGCAGTCCTGTTTCAGTAAACTTCACAAATTGAAAAAATCCAGCTAGACCAAACTATCATATGTCGAGATCCCAATCAGCCCAACCAGTTTTGTGGGAAATTAATCATAAAATGCTGCATCAATAGGGAAAAATTGGTAAAATTTCCCACCAATGAAAAGATCATGAAAATAAGCATGAACATCAAAAGACTCACTCCCAACAAACTCATGATATAGAAATCCCACAATCGGCTGGTTCAGGATCTTGACATAATATGATAGTAATAGGTTAGCTGGAATTTTCGATTTGTGAAATTTACGGAAAAGACAGGACTGCCGGTCATTTAGTGTTTTGAAAACCTTGACTGGTTACTGGCCATATAGCCACAGCGTTTAATTAAGACTCACTTTGCAGCCTCCTAAGGATGAATTGCATCAATAAACAAAGATGGTATAATAGACTAACTGGTAATAACAATAATTGTCATTACTAGTTATTATACCATCTTTGTATATTGATGCAATTTATAGTTACAATAGACCGTTTTACGGATGCGCAGGCAATATTGAATTAATTCGATTTGAGGAGTATTATAGGATGCCCAGGGGGCATGAGTACATTTCGTTTGTATTTTCAAGTGCTTTTCGGCACAATTTTTCTTAAAGTTTTCTTAGAATAAGATTGCAATGGGGAAACAGATCCTTGTGTCACGTTTCGATGTAATAATGATCGCCATTTTCCCGAGAAATATACAGTGAAACACCATATTTCTAATACTAAACGAGAAAAAGGCGATCATTATTACATCCAAACACGGCGCAAGGATCTTTTTTCCTATTAAAATCTTATTCTAAGAAAACTTTAAGAAAATTTGTCCCAAAAAGCACTTGAAAATACAAATGAATGTGCTCATGCCCCCTGGGCATCCTATAATACTCCTTAAATTGAATTAATTCAAAATGGCCGCCGTATCGGGAAAAAGATCTATTATTGTAACTATGAATAGGATAATATAATAACCACCAACTAATAACTCATATGTAAATATTTGCAGTATACACAATAAAATTACAGATGGCCACCATAAAAATTTTCAATAAAGCTACGTGCAAGAGTTCTACTGCTAAGACATAGATTGGATAAAGGTATTAAAAAATGCTTGGTGCACATCTTAGGTTGAGTAAATTCACACTGTTTCGAAGATTATACCCGCTAACATTCTTTGGTGGTAGTAGATGGTGCAGCTTATGCACAGAATCAGATACAGTGTACGACTAATTCAAATAGTTTGTTGCATCGTTCAATGCGTCTGTCCATAAGAGAACTCATGTTGTACAATGTGAGGTTGTCAACATATTGAAGGCCGGGAGATATTATTGACAGCGCACGCTTCTGAATGCCCTCTAAGTCGTTGCTTAAATACACAGGCAATGCATGGTGGTATAAACTTTAAGGTGCACAGTACTCTAATACTGGCGTAATGCAGGTATGATAGAAACTGATGAAATCACAGGTCATGACCTTGGCGCGCTTAAGCAAAATAAGGAAAAACATTTGCTTATTGGCCTTCTTGATTACACCAGGAATGTGACAATTCCATTGAAGGGTGCTAGGTATAGTTATGCCTAATACTTTTGTGTGGTTCACAAGTTCAAGTTCCTTTGAGTTGACAGTAAACGCATCAAACTAGTAGGTAGGTCTTTTGAAGTCGATCAACAGTTCCTTACACATATCTAAAAAGCAAACAGTTAATTCTTTGCAACAAGAACCATGATTGGTGACCAGGGTGTCCAGTTCCTATTTTTTCCGATTTTTTGAACATGTTCCTATTTTCTCCTATTTTTCTTATTTTTTAGCTAGTGAAGCCAAAATTTGTATCAAAATTGAACATGGAATTTTTAGTTGTATGTATTTTAAAGTGAGAATTATCGTAAAGCAAGTAATATGTCGACTTTGATGTTCTCATATCAGCAAAGATAACAGTTACATTTGTTCTTTCTACATCCTCTATTGCCCATTAGAGTTCTGTTGACAACTTTGTTATATTGTCACTTTTTGTAAAATTTTTTAGTGCCCCTATATGTATTGTACATGTATGTAGCGTTATAGCTCTTATGACTATTGAATAATGTTGTGCATAGCCCACTGAAACTGCATTTCACATGATATATTTTATTTTGAAGTCTTGCTCGCTTTTATGTTCATCTTTGAAAGTGAAAACAGGATCAGGTTGTCCTCTCACATTACATAGGTCAGATAAGTCATCCTATCAGCTTCTTGTTTAAAAAACCAATCACTACATACCTGGCTGGATTCTGGATCCTACATGAAAAGAACAGACTCAAGTTTAGTTTACGCCACCAGCTCTCTTGGTGAGGCCTTGTTGACAGCTCTACCTAAGCAACTGACGAAGGATCCAATATTTTGTTTGCAGAACCGGTCTTGCAGTCATAGCTAAGCAGAGTGTTTTGTTCCTCTTAGAACTTAACCATGACACACTTACAATCTGGTACCAAATAGACAAGGGCACCCAAAGACTGTTTTCTGTAAAATATCTGTTCGGAGAAGTAAATATTGCCTAGAATTGTCTATTACTTGAGGACGGCTAAAAATTTCTATATGACCGTTCCATTCATGTACAATTTTCAAAGCTTATATTATAAATTTGCTACTACTTCCTGAAGTTTAATTTTCATATTTTACTTCCCAAGTTTTGTAAACCTAAAATTTTCAGATTTCAAAATGTCATGATGGCAAGAAGAATAAGAAAATGCCTCACTTTCATAATATGTCAAATTGTATCTTGTAAAATTTTTGGGAAAATAATACTGAAGCCCTTGTAATTTTTTTATTCTGAAAAGACTCAAGTTCCGCTAGGATGACCGAATAGATACAAATTTTATAGCACCGCTTAGAACGCCTTAAGAATGTCTAAAGATCTTAAAGTACTCTGGATAGCCTTAATGTTTTCAAGCTATTTAGGAGGAAACCATCGTCGGGTGCCCCCGAACAGGTCACTAGAGAGTGGGAGCTTATTTGAGGAGGGAGTACTTAATAGAGGATTTTCGGATGTGATTGGCAGCTGCGAAAACCAAACTTGTAAGCTGTCTTTTAAGTCCCGGAATTTGCATGTTATTGAAAAGTATAGTTGTCTGGATAGAGTTAGCTGGATTAAATGGTTTAAGAAAGTTGAATAATAATGTGTTTATGTTATGTTGAAAGGGTGCAAAGGAAGCTACACTTTATGCCTTTTAAGTGTAAACAGTGTGGCAAGTGTTTTAGCAGAGCAGGAACTCTAAGGAAGCATAAACTAGTTCACACTGGGGAAAAGCCTTATGAATGTAAACACTGTGGCAATTGTTTTAGCCAAGCAGGAGTCCTAAAGCGTCATGAAAGAGTTCACGCTGGGGAAAAGCCTTATGAATGTAAACGATGTGGCAAGTGTTTTAGCCAAGGAGGAAACCTGAGGCGTCATGAAAGAGTTCACACTGGGGAAAAGCCCTATGAATGTAAACAGTGTAGCAAGTGTTTTATGGAAGCAGGAAAACTAAGGAGTCATGAAAGAGTTCACACTGGGGAAAAGCCATATGAATGTAAACAGTGTGGCAAGTGTTTTAGCTGGTCAGGAAACCTGACAAAACATGAAAGAGTTCACACTGGGGAAAAGCCTTATGAATGTCAACAGTGTAGCAAGTGTTTTAGCGAAGCAGGAAAACTAAGGATTCATGAAAGAGTTCACACTGGGGAAAAGCCTTATGAATGTCAACAGTGTGGCAAGTGTTTTAGTGTAGCAGGAAAGCTAAAGGTTCATGAAAGAGTTCACACCGGGGAAAAGCCGTATGAGTGTAGACAGTGTGTCAGGTTTTTTAGCAATGCAGGAAACTTGAAAACTCATCAAAGAGTTCACACTGGGGAAAAACCTTATAAATGTAAAACCTGTGGAAAATGTTTTAGCCATGGACACACCCTAAAGTATCATGAAAGAGTTCACACTGGGGAAAAGCCGCATGAATGTAAACAATGTGGCAAGTGTTTTAACCAAGCAAACAACCTGAGGATGCATGAAAGAGTTCACACTGGGGAGAAGTGTAACCTTAAGAGAGGAGGAAGTGATGTAAGGTCAGGATTTACAAACGACACACTGTCACAGATAGAGACTGGAAACAGTGGTATGGAAGTCAAGCAATCAGTCATCACTAAGAAACACAGCTGTTGGGTTTGTCAAGAGGAGATGGGTAGTGAAGCTCTTCTTCAACATTACGAAAATCATATGAGCCATGTAGCTAAAGATGGCTCGTAAAGATGACAAACGCTTCGGTCTTTAGGTTTTTTCAAGTTTCGATTCGGTTTATAAGGTTTTGCTTTTTAAGTGTAAGGGTCATATCATTAGGTTTACCTTCGATAAATCGGTTGAATTGAAATGTTCGAAATAGGATTATGAAAAGACATTACTAAGAAGAGATTTCACTCTTTACTAAAAGTTGGACAAAGCAGTTTTTCCCACGTGCAAAGGGCTTATTTTTTTTTGTTAAAACGTCGACTTTTAAGGTGGCTCGATCCCATTTATATGCGTGTTGGTTATGTTTTTGAATCGCGTTTTTCTGCAGGAACGATTTAACCGATATCTATGACTTTTGGCATCGTTAGAAAGTGTTATTCATTTTCTTGTCAGAATAAACACGTTTGAGATGTCGGTATATATTTCATGGGTATATTATTTTTACAAATTCTTAATAGCCGAGCAAGAATTCAGGGTTCACTGTCTACAAAAAGGCACACCTTGACTCGGCTGCCTCGTACCCAGATGTCTCTCTCTCGATGAAAATGTGCGCGCAAAGGAAGGCGGGAAGGAGACAACGGGCGAGACGTGCTTCGTCTGCCGTCTGTAACCTTCCCATGATCCCTTGCGGCTCATCACCAGTCACTCGCGTTTCGCGCTCGCCTCTACCATGCGAAAAACGAAGCGCCTGAGGAGGACGCTGGGCTTGCGGTGTTCCAGACTTTTGACTCATAGCATCGAGGCAGACCAGCTGATTTGCTATTCGCTGAAGCGCATCTTTCTTTTCCGCAGTGGCTGGCAAGAGACGCCACTAGTTAGGGAGAGACCAGGGGAGACTGGAAACAACTCTTGTGGCTGGCCTGTTACGTCAGCCTTTGACATAAAATAAATTTTGGCGGACATCTTACGCTGTCCGCACAACGAGGACAAGATTTCGCAACGATGATGTTGCCGACACTCATGTGGGATCCTTGAGGGAGACTGTTGTCCTAAGTCGTTGCAAGAAAAGCAGATTATTTTATACTCACAACATCTTCAGAAAAAGCTATAGCTTTATTGCATTAAGAATGGAAAAAATACGTGAAATATTGTGAAAATCACGTTTTCGTGTGGAGGCTATCATATTTGTATGTTTTTTTCTGGCTGCTTACCTGAGTCGCGCACCAAGCACCACTCAGCATGGTCGCCTTTTCTCGCGTTACAAGCGGTAGACTTCATTTTGGAACTAGCACCTTCACGATTATCGAGAGGAACATAAAAGCTATCTTCAGGGAGTATTTCAGCTCGTTATGTTTTGATTCAGGTAAAATATTCATGATGATAATCTGAATAATTTTTAGTTGCAGACCAAGGACCACATACTGTATTGTTTTATTTTCACTTGACACTTTTACAATTAAATGTGGTTGAAAAGTTCACTGTACAGTTAAAACTGTTGTTTTTTTTCTTACTTCCAACTATTTGCTTTGAGCTCCCAATAACTCGAACCCCTGAATTAAATTGGGTGGCGAATGTAAAAATGCTAGTTTCTCAAAACTCAAGATTCAGTTTTTGCGTTTCGAAACTCGATTCATTCGAGGCTCGAGTAGTGCTCCAGTTTTGTCTCGTCACGCATCGCTCCAGGCAGGTACCGAAGGTATTCATCTGAGATAGAGCTGACTTAATTATAATTGTCATAGCAGAACACAACTTCAATTAAGAGTGCCGGCAACTTTGTGGACTTGGGATGGGCCAATTTATTTTGGCTTGGGTCCTCTTTTTTCTACCTTTTTTAAAGCTGAAGCAGTCCAAAACAACACGTGACTCAAACTGTTATTGATTTGTTGGATGCTTCATGTAAGTGCTGTATGGTGATACTAAAGCTAATAATGCAAGAAATGGTTGTGATTAGAATGGATACCTCAAATTTAGATCGCCATCTTCCCTCAAAATGCATGATAGTCTCTTGTCGCTAACAAGTAGTATTTAGGAGAAGAAAAAAACGGAAGGTAGTACATCGGACTTAAACCAGCATCATTTGATGTATAATCCATATGTTTTTAAAACAGCGCTTAACCCTAGTCACTGTTCTTTATTGCTAAACCCTGTATTCAACTCTTTTCCATGCACAACTGTCTCTTACTCTGATTTCCCACTTTTCTTAATGTGACCAATAAGTTTGCATAAATATAGTTTAGCATGCTATGAGTATAACGATGTGTACTAAACATAAATATATAAACCTCTTTTTCTCCAATGATGTTTACAAAGACTCCTTTCCTTTTTTCTCAAGCTTTGTGCTCATTCTTCTGCGCTGCTTGGTTTTTGCTCTCTGCAGGCGTCAAATAGATAAAAAAACAAACAATGTCTGTGGGCAGGCATTCACCTCTCAGAACAAAAGTATTTATTATTCATCACTCGTAAAAACTTAAGTGCAACACTCACAATTTCTGTTGTTTGCACATCACTTAAGTACAGACTTAAAAAAAAATCATAAGTGAAGGCCTATCATAAGTGTAATCTTGCCTATACTCTCCTAGTGGATTTTATGTGTTGCAAGTGCGAAATGCAACCAAAATCCCAGGGGCTGGGAATTTCCCTGAGCTTCAAAATGAACATGACTCACCAAAGGGAAATTAGATTCATTTTGAAAATTACAGTATTTACTCAAATATTTAAGAGCTGTGGCAATAATCAAGTCTTAACTGCAGCACTTATTCACGGGCAGTGTTTATCCAAGAGTTAGTAGCAGCAAAGAATTGTTTTATTAATAATTGTTCCTATTAATATTTTCAATGTAAACTATTAAGCTAATAGAATTAATTTTTTTGTTAGCATCTAAGCCACTTTATTTAAACCTTGCTGTCCCAAATGCAGTGCTTATTTGAGAAGGGCATTTAATCTGGGGTGCCACGGGTGCCTATTACGCAGGCTCCAGAGTGCCATATATTCCAGTAGATAAGGTGCTGATTTAATGGCTTTTTTGAGATTTATCTTAGAAGGGGTGCCATAGGTGTGAAATGGAGGGATGCAAGGGCACTTGGGTAGGGACTGGGATGGTATGTTACAGGTCCAAATTATTAAATTCAGATGAAAGATGGTAAAGTCAATTCACTGTTACCTTCCAACATTATTTCTCTGGTCAAGTACAAAAACGAAAAAAAACACTATGGTAACAGAAATTTACCAGACTTGTCAAAATAATCATGAGCAACTCTTCTCACTGACAGATTTAAGACACTTATTTTATCAGTTGTTGTTCTGGTTATTGTGTGGGAAACTCCCTGTTATGAACCTTTGTTCAGTAGCCTGTGAGCAAGCTCTCTGAGTCACAGGTGGAGCTCTTGGGTTGGGGGAGAATGAAATCAATCGAGCCAAAAGTATTTGTCATAACTTCCTTACCATACAGTATGGTGATCATGGTAAACAACATGTCTCAATTGCCTCATTGCTCTTATGAATTAAATAAAACAGTAAAAAACACAACTGTAAATACCTTCTTAGGTTCTTTATTGTTGTCATTACTTTGGTATTTTGTAGGTATCCTCAATTACTTTACATTTGCAAACAAGAATAACATAACAAGTTGATAAAGTTTATTATTATTAGCATTGAAAAAACAGTAATATTTTATTATCTTTGCAGTAGACATTCTAAATTAAATTACTTTTGGGTTTATCAATATCTCATGGCAGTGTCTCTTTTATTTAGCTGCATTTAATGGTTTCTTAAAGTTGATTGTTAATGTTTTTATTTTCTGTTGAAGAGAAACAATGGAAGCGACACTACATACTCCATGTCTTTTAAAGTGCAAACAGTGTGGAAAGTGCTTTAGCCAAGCAGGAAGCTTAAAAACTCATGAAAGAGTTCACACTGGAGAAAAGCCTTATGGATGTAAACAGTGTGACAAATGTTTTAGCCAAGCAGTTCACCTAAGGAATCATGAAAGAGTTCACACTGGGGAAAAGCCCTATAAATGTAAACAGTGTGGCAAGTGTTTTAGCCAAGCTGGAAAACTTAGGATTCATGAAAGAGTCCACACTGGGGAAAAGCCATATAAATGTAAACAGTGTGACAAGTGTTTCCGCCAAAAAGGAAGTCTAACATGTCATGAAAGAGTTCACACTGGGGAAAAGCCATATGAATGTAAACAGTGTGGCAATTGTTTTAGCCATGCTGGAAGCCTTAGGATTCATGAACGAGCTCACACTGGGGAAAAGCCTTATGAATGTAAACAGTGTGGCAAGTGTTTAGGCGATGCAGGAGGCCTAAGGATTCATGAAAGAGTTCATACTGGGAAAAAGCCTTATCAATGTAAACAATGTGGCAAGTGTTTTAGCCGATCAAGAGACCTAATGAGACATGAAAGAGTTCACACTGGGGAAAAGCCCTATGAATGTAATCAGTGTGACAAGTGTTTTAGCCAAGAAGTTCAACTAAGAAGACATGAAAGAGTTCACACTGGGGAAAAGCCCCACAAATGCAAACAGTGTGACAAGTGTTTTAGCGAAGCAGGAAAGCTAAGGATTCATGAAAGAGTTCACACTGGGGAAAAGCCGTATGAATGCAAACAGTGTGGCAATTGTTTTAGCGAATCAAGGAGGCTAAAGATTCATGAAAGACTCCACACTGGGGAAAAGCCGTTTGAATGTAAACAGTGTGGCAAGTCTTTTAGCGAAGCAGGAAAACTAAGGGTTCATGAGAGAGTTCACACTGGGGAAAAGCCTTATGAATGTAAACAGTGTGGCAAGTGTTTTAGCCGATCAGGAGACCTGATAAGACATGAAAGAGTTCACACTGGGGAAAAACCTTATGAATGTAAACAGTGTGGCAAGTGTTTTCACCAATCAGGAGCGCTAAGGAGACATAACAGAGTTCACACTGGGGAAAAGCCTTATGAATGTAAACAGTGTGGCAAGTGTTTTAGTGAATCAGGAAAGCTAAAGATTCATGAGAGAGTTCACACTGGGGAAAAGCCGTTTGAATGTAAACAGTGTGGCAAGTCTTTTAGCCGATCAGGAGACCTGAGAAGACATGAAAGAGTTCACACTGGGAAAAAGCCTTATGTATGTAAACAGTGTGGCAAGTGTTTTAACGAAGCAGGAAAGCTAAGGATTCATGAAAGAGTTCACACTGGGGAGAAGCCATTTGAATGTAAACAGTGTGGCAAGTGTTTTATTGAAGCAGGAAAGCTAAAGATTCATGAAAGAGTTCACAGTGGGGAAAAGCCGTTTGAATGTAAACAGTGTGGCAAGTGTTTTAGCCAATCAGGAGACCTAAAGAGACATGAAAGTGCTCACACTGGGGAAAAGGCTTATGAATGTAAACAAGTGGTTTTGTCAATCAGGACACTTTTAGAGTCACTCAAAGTCCACAGCAAAAAAAGGTCACATAAATGTGATAGTAACAAGGGTCTTTTTAAGAGTTTGCATTGTAAGGTTAAGAGGGCAGGATTGACTAACAGGACACTGTTAGACAGCATCTGTCAAGAGGAGATGAGTAGTGAATCTCTTCTTCTTCATTATTATGAAAACCATATGAGGCATGTTGCTGTAGAACACTCACAAAATTAACAAATGCTCGAGTCTGAGTGTTGTTAAATTTTGTTTGGTTTTTGTTGGGTTTGCATTTACATGTAAGCTGCATAAACTATCTGTTTTGTCACCTTTGATTAATTGGTTGCGTTGAGTTTGAATTGTGTTTCCCGTAAATGGGTTTTAAAAAAGTTCTTGAAATATATTAATGTTGACGGTTTTGTACATTGGCAATTCAATTTGTTGGTGATCTTTTAATAATTCTAGTGACAATCACACCACTAGTGAAATTAGATGATAAAGAAAATGTTCAGACTTTGAGCGCTGAGGTCGTTGCTTGATGGATCAAAGAACTGCCATTCTCCTGCCAGTCCTAATAGATAAAAAATTTCGGATTTAAACTGAAAGGAGGAGATCTTTCTTACACTCCTCGGATTGTTGGTACAGGCTACTTTTTTACTTTATATACCTTTTTTATATTATCTAAACCCGTAGAGTAGCTTTTCTTCAGAGATAATAAAGCGCTTTTATGCTTCATACAATGAGTAGGTTGTCAAATGTTAGACTACGAGTAGTACCCCATTTTTCCTCAGGGATAGTAGAGCGAGCGAAACGCGAGGGCGTGTGAAAATCACCCGACGCGAGAAAAGGCGACACGCTTTTTCTCGCGAGGGGTGATTTTCACGCGCGCTCGCATTTCGCTAGCTCTACTATCCCTGAGGAAAAATTGGGGACTACTCGTAGCCTAGTCAAATGTTGCCAAGAGTTGTGCAAAGCTACCTTTATAGGTGTTATACCTTTGATGTTCTAAACATCGCTTTTGGTTGCTGAATTTTGTCACCCATCCGGGTGAATTTTGTCACCCAATAGCACTATGTGTTTTGTTTACGTGACCCACGAACTGATGCACAAAATCAGGCTAAGTAATAAAGTGTGGCACTCTTTCATTTTAGTTCACCCCCTACTCAACCGACCCCCAAATCATGTGAACGTGAATCAAAGCCGAAAAAAAATAGTCCCTTAGTTTTGTTTACGTGACCCGAGAATTGATGCACACAATCAGGCTAAGTGATAAAGTATGGGAACCTTTTATCTTGGTTCACGTTAACGTGAATCAAAGCTGAAAAAATTGTCCCTTGTGTGTTGTTTACGTGACACGTAAACGGATGCACGCAATCAGGCCAAATAATTAGGTATGGGACCCTTTCATCTTGGTTCCCCCCTACTAAACCGACCGGCCCCTAAATTATAACGTAACCAATGGACCAATGTACAAGATAAGTAGTGGTAGAGGGGTGATTTACTCCGTTTTGGTGCCTAGCAAGTGCCTAGTCCTGCATACTAATTTTATAAGTGTCTAGTCAGCGTCCAGCTAACTAGATAAAATTGCGTTCCTTCACACTAATCGAAGTTTGACCGGTTTTTGAAATATGTTCATCGTGACATTGACCGTCCTATTGATTGGCTCCGCCAGAAGAAGTTGGAGCCTGGTTGCCCTGTGGCTTTCCCAGTTCCCAAGTAAATGGTCATAATTTGTCCTGTCATCTGCGCTGTTTTTTCTTTTTGGACTGCCTCCGGTTTTCGTTCCTTTTTGTGAAATTGCCTCGTTTTTTGTTGCTGTTTGCGAGTAGGCGAGGTTCGATACCTCAGCGAGTTTGGCGGACGGGTTCCCCCTCCATACAGGAGCCGATTACTAAGTAATCGGCTCCTGCTCCATACTGTTTTTGTGCTGCTGTGTGTGTGTGGCTGTTGCTAGGATGTCGTTTAGCGCCATTGCACTCACCCCACCGAGGGGGCGGCCACTCACCTTAAATATAAAAGAGGTTAGTCTTTTCCTCGAGATAGAACGAAGAAAACCATGGTCAGCATAATACACATTGTACTGTCGCAATTTGTAATAATCATCGCACTTTGTAATACCTGTCGCAGTTTGTAATAAATTCATCGCAATTTGTAATACTTGTCACAATTTGTAATAAACCGTGTCACACTTTGAAATGAAAAAGCTGTCGCAATTTGTAATAACTGTCCATCGCACTTTGTAATAAACTAACCTGTTGCAAAAAAGCCTTTAAAGATCTAATTTCCAGCCCCCTTTCAATTTAGGCGCTCGGTCAATATATTTTGCGTTATACTGTGTAATGAAATGTTTTTAGGAGGTAAAAAGATAATTTACATCAACTGCAGTGATTAACAGTTCAGCAGAGGTAGTAGGGAGGGTGGATAAAGTCTTGATCCTTATAAAGCTACTCCGTTGAAAATTTAATGTACGGACCGGTGTTCACGCGTTTCTTTATTTATTGGTACTATTATTATTATTATGCCTTTTTGGGGGGGGGGGCTTGTCGTCTCCCGGGAGTTTCCAACTACAGTCTTGTAAGCGATCGCATGGTAAAGCAATAGGGGGTTGTTCCTTACAAGAGCTTCAGAAAGTAATTGCGCATAAAGAAAAAACAAAAGAAAATACTGTTTAATAAGTATCTTTATATAAGCTTATATACACACGGCTAAACTTTACGTCCAATTTTTACCACTATCGAAGACTGCACTCTCATCGAAGTTTTGATTTATATCAAAACAACTCTCGCTTTTATACGAGCGCTTAAAAACGAAGTCCAAGGAACCCAAAGGTCCAGTTGGGTAATTCCAAAAGAGGTCGCAGTCGCTTACGAGAGCTTTTCATTACAAAGTTTAAGCATGGATAATAGTGATGGTTTAAGTCACAGTTCTAACGGGGTTTCACCCGGGGGTTTCACAAATGTGGTAGTAACTATTGGTCGCTTACGAGTTACAAGAGTGGTCGAAAGGAGAGTTTCGACTGTCCTCATGCACGTTATTAGACTTTCTCAAAGTCATTCGCTTCCCATTTCCGGTTCAGGTAGTTGGCCCAAAAAACATGAAAAATCTTCCCGCTCGCGCTTCGTGCTCGTGAAAAAAATTGAGCTCGACTTGTCAGGGGCACTCAACGACGGTTTTCTCCTAAATGCATTGAAAACACTTTTTAGACTATCCAAAGTACTTTTAGATCTTTAGAAATACATTTTCTTTCGGCGCTATAAAAATTTATATCTGTTCGGTCATCCTAGGGCAATTTGAATCTTTTCGAAATTACAAAGGCTTGAGTATTATTTTCCCGAAAATTTTAAATGCAATTTAAAGTTTTACGAAAGTGAGAATTTTTCTGATTTCTCTTTCCTTCGCATTTTCGAATCCGAAAATTTTAGGTTTCTTTTTCTGTGAAAAATAGCTTAATCCGTGGAGTGAAATGCAAAAACTAAAACTTCAGAAAATGAAAGGGGATTATTAGATAAACTTCGATAATATACATGAATGAAAAAGTCATCTAGAAATTCTGAGCCTTCCTCAAGGTATAGAAAATTCTAGGCAATTTTTGCTTCTCCTAACAGATATTTTACAGAAAACAGCCTTTGAGTGCCCCTCACTTCGGTTGTTTGGCAAGACTAGCACGTTGTACGTGCCTAAGTTTTGTCCGAGCCAGTCTGAGTACTACTTTTTGGGTAGGTAGGTCATGTACTGGAACATTAAATATAAACAGACGGACAGTTTTTCTCCACTTACACGAAGTAGTACCCTCCTAGTCTCTCTTCACTCAGAGTCTCGACTTTCGATCCACAACTCCGAAACCCAATAACCAAGGTAAGAGAAGCTTTTCATTACACGACATATACAACTTAGAATGGCTTAAGTGGCAGGTTTGAACGAAACAACACCAAAGATGAGCACAGAGATTGACATGACTCGAGGGTTCACCCTTATTTATCTGTTCTTACAAATGTAGCGAATTTCGTATTTATTTGACTCGTAGCCCTGAGTTTTGAGCTTTTCCAACTCTTAAATTCCGATTTGTACATAACTCAGTCTTGATGTTATGGGGTAACCGGTCTTTTAGATACATAGTCGCTCGCATAACTGTTTTACACTGCCAGTTCATGGACTGTGGTGAAGTTTATAGATTAGGTTTGGAAAACTGAGTGAATCACGTTCCATTAATCATTACAGTTGATTCCCGATAACTCGAACCATCGCTAACTCGAACCTCGCGCTAACTCAAACCAAAATCGATTTCCCAAGGATTTCCTTTATTGCTGGTTTGCACTTGACGTCACGGCAGCCGTGTTGGTGGTCAAGAACAAAAGCATTTCTCTCCTCTGGGAACTAAACTCTATTTTCATGTTTATTCTTCGAGAAAAATTTCTATTGTATTGACCCCCCAACATGGCCACCTTGTCATGTGTTTGCAAACCAAGAATGCATTTACTGTAATTTTACCCTCGGTAATTCGAACCTTTGATAACTTGAACCTCCCGCTAACTCAAAGTCATTTTTGCTTTCTCTCAGATCATTTGTATATATTTTTATCCTTGATAACTCGAACCATGTTTTGGTTATACAAGTCGGAAAATAAAACAGCATACTGGCGTCCGAAATTTTGAATTTCCCATTGATGTGCACATCCTCGGAGACCCAGGGGCAGAAAGTGGAGGCAAGGGAAAGTCTAAACGAGCGGAAAAATATACATGTAACGAAGAAAAGTAAAGAACGGCGAGAAGAGCCCCTGGGGACAATGTCTTACCAGACCAGTTCCAAACCGTCGCCGCCGTTCTGACTTCTGATTGGTGCCAGAAAAACACAAGTTTTCTGGCACCAATCAGAAGCCAGAACGGCGGCGACCGTTTGGAACTGGTCTGGTAAGACATTGTCCCCAGGGGCTCTTCTCGCCGTTCTTTACTTTTCTTTTGTGCTACACTTTCCCGCCTGTTTAGACTTTCCCTCGCCCCCACTATCTGCCCCTGGGTCTCCGAGGATGTGATGTGCACTACTTAGGCTATGTTTTGTTACGTTATTTCTGATTTATAATCGAGAAGTACAGTATGTGGCCCATGGTCCGTGAGGTCCTTGGTCTGCGACTTTTCCAAAAATGATAAAATATATCGTCGAGAAAAAAAAATATGGAGAATAATTAAAGATATCGTGATTTACTGATTAGCATTCTTTCATATGATGACGTTTTGGTTTTCTTGCTATGGGTGAAGGCATGAAATTAAAGTTTGTTGACAGGTAGGTTTAATTTGTCTTTTTTGAAGTTTGGACTTTTGCAGCACCGCAAATTACATGGTCATGTTTACTTAGCTTGTGAATAAAAAACGAAACAGGAAGATGTGCCTTTTTGCAGAACAGGTTTTCAGGTCAACCTATTTCTGCTGTTGGAAGCATATTGCTGCAGACTTTGAATTTTTTGTCTTATCGACTCTCGAAAAATATCACCAAAGTTCGCTAGTGGTCCTTGGTCTGCAACTTATGACCTTGGTTGAATAAAACTTCGCAAAATAAAAAGTGACGGCCTTTATTTTCGAATAATGTTTTAAAAATCTTCCCTATACATGCCTACAAGTACTCTTATTTAAATATCGTAAAATTCCGAAAATAAACCCCTCCATGTACAAGCCCTTCCAAATATAAGCCCCCCAAACCAGTAACGCAAAAAACCCTCCGTTAAATTGCCCCTCCAAATATAAGCCCCCCGGGGGCTTGTACTTGGAAAATTGCCCTCAAATACCAAGTAAAACAAAGCAAAAACGGTAAATTTACTTCCAACTACAAGGCTAGCCCAATCGAGTTTGAAACGCAAATTTCCCTCCGTAGATAAGCCCCTCCAAAAATAAGCCCCTCAAAAAGGGCCTTTGAAAAATATAAGCCCCGGGGCTTATTTTCGGAATTTTACGGTACCTCGAACGCATACAGAGTTTTAAGTAATTATTTTCGACCACGCTGAAAACCACTCGTTGACGCTCGTGTGGGAGCCTTGAGGGAGACTGTTGTCCTAAGTCGTTGCAAGAAAAGCAGATTATTTTATACTCACAACATCTTCCGAAAAAGCTATAGCTTTATTGTATTAAGAATGGAAAAAATACGTGAAATATTGTGAAAACACGTTTTCGTGTGGAAGCTATCATATTGTTATGTTTTTTTCTGGCTGCTTACCCGAGTCGCGTACCAAGGACCATTGAGCATGGTCGCCTTTTCTCGAGTTACAAGCGGTAGACTTCATTTTGGAACTAGCACCTTCACGATTATCGAAAGGAACATAAAAGCTATCTTCAGGGAGTATTTCAGCTCGTTATGTTTTGATTCAGGTAAAATATTCATGATGATAATCTGAATAATTTTTAGTTGCAGACCAAGGACCACATACTGTATTGTTTTATTTTCACTTGACACTTTTACAATTAAATGTGGTTGAAAAGTTCACTGTACAGTTAAAACTGTTGTTTTTTTCTTACTTCCGACTATTTGCTTCGAGCTCCCAATAACTCGAACCCCTGAATTAAATTGGGTGGCGAATGTTTCGAAACTCCATTCATTCGAGGCTCGAGTATTGCTCCAGTTTTGTCTCATCACGCATCGCTCCTTAAGCCTTCCCAACTTATCTAGGAAGATCGAAAGGCCTCTGTTCGCAGGGTATAAATTGATAAACAACAACTTCTTCAAAGACAGATCTTTCCAGGGATGCCTCATTTTGGAGATACGTCATTTTGGATATTCTGACCAATCCTGAAGGGAGAGAGAGAAAGATCGAAATAGATTTCCAAAAGAAGGACCAAATTTTGGCTTTTTGGGCATGCGTGAAAAACAAATAAGCTGTTTTCTTACATCAGATTAGTAAAAAAATATGCCTTTTTTCTTGCAAAACTTGCCATTCTTATGCTAATTAGCCAAAAACCAGTCCAAAGAAGAGGAATTGGTGAAAAACGCGGTTTTTTTGCCACTCGCTGGCTGTAACCAAAGAGTTAATAAGGTTACCAATCTTTTTTAATTGGGCTCCTAGAAATGCGGCTCGGGCTCTTAACTTTGTATTTTAGGAGCCTGAAGGGCTCCCAAAATCAGTCGTAGCCTGTTAATGTGGGGGATCTATTTACCACAAGGGCAAGGGAGTAGGGGTTGGGAATAGAGAAAATAGATGGCCTGTCAACATCTTTTGAAGCAACTGAAATTTGGTTTTCCCAGGAAGTGCAAATTGCCTTTACAACTAAAAGGGGATTATCCTGTCAACGTCATATTCACAACTTGTAATGCTCATACATGTATGATGCAAGCCGAAGTGCTTGTTAGCACCACAAGGCTTATACCTGTTTACTTAATACAATCCACTCTCTTTTACTGGACACATCTATACTAAGACCGACACCTGCTTTTGGTCCCTGCCGTTTTTCAGTCATTTTACTGTAACTATACTCTCTAGAAGACGGGCACTTCTCTAAGACGGATAAAAATAGGCACTTTTAAGAGAAGTGCTTTATATAGTAAAAATTACCTCAAAATAAAACTGTAGGTGATCTACATGACAGTAAATAGCAAAATGTTTGACGTTTTCAAATGTAGTCTTGTTCCAGTTTGCATAGTGTATACTGTTACCCTTTTAGACCATGAAGCCAAAAATGTTTGCATGTAATTGCACAATGTAAAAATACTCTCCTCTTTTCTATCACATTGCTTTAGTTTAAGCTGTTTTGTACAAATTAAACATACGTACATTCAGCTTTAAAATTGCTGGTGTCATGTTACATGTACCTTAACTATCTATAAGTCAGACACCTCTCTAAGACAAACAGTCCAGGCAGGTACCGAAGGTATTCATCTGAGATAGAGCTGACTTAATTATAATTGTCATAGCAGAACACAACTTCAGTTAAGAGTGCCGGCAACTTTGTGGACTTGGGATGGGCCAATTTATTTTGGCTTGGGTCCTCTTTTTTCTACCTTTTTTAAAGCTGAAGCAGTCCAAAACAACGCGTGACTCAAACTGTTATTGATTTGTTGGATGCTTCATGTAAGTGCTGTATGGTGATACTAAAGCCAATAATGCAAGAAATGGTTGTGATTAGAATGGATGCCTCAAATTTAGATCACCATCTTCTCTCAAAATGCATGATAGGAGTCTCAATACTCTAAAAAGTAGTATTTAGGAGAAGAAAAAAACGGAAGGTAGTACGTTGGACTTAAACCAGCATCATTTGATGTATAATCCATATGTTTTTAAAACAGTGTTTAACCCTAGTCACTGTTCTTTATTGCTAAACCCTGTATTCAACTCTTTTCCATGCACCACTGTCTCTTACTCTGATTTCCCCACTTTTCTTAATGTGACCAATAAGTTTGCATAAATATAGTTTAGCATGCTATGAGTATAATGATGTGTACTAAACATAAATATATAAACCTCTTTTTCTCCAATGATGTTTACAAAGACTCCTTTCCTTTTTTCTCAAGCTTGGTGCTCATTCTCCTGCGCTGCTTGGTTTTTGCTCTCTGCAGGCGTCAAATAGATAAAAAAAGAAACAATGTCTGTGGGCAGGCATTCACCTCTCAGAACAAAAGTATTTATTATTCATCACTCGTAAAAACTTAAGTGCAACACTCACAATCTCTGTTGTTTGCACATCACTTACGGTAAGTACAGACTTAAAAAAAATCATAAGTGAAGGCTATCTTGCCTATACTCTCCTAGTGGATTTAATGTGTTGCAAGTGCGAAATGCAACCAAAATCCCAGGGGCTGGGAATTTCCCTGAGCTTGGGTAGGGACTGGGATGGTATGTTACAGGTCCAAATTATTAAATTCAGGTGAAAGATGGTAAAGTCAATTCACTGTTACCTTCCAACATTATTTCTCTGGTCAAGTACAAAAAAGAAAAAAAAAACTACAGTAACAGAAATTTACCAGACTTGTCAAAATAATCATGAGCAACTCTTCTCACTGACAGATTTAAGACACTTATTTTGTCAGTTGTTGTTCTGGTTATTGTGTGGGAAACTCCCTGTTATGAACCTTTGTTCAGTAGCCTGTGAACAAGCTCTCTGAGTCACAGGTGGAGCTCTTGGGTTGGGGGAGAATGAAATCAATCAAGCCATAAGTATTTGTCGTAACTTCCTTACCATACAGTATGGTGATCATGGTAAACAACATGTCTCAATTGCCTCATTGCTCTTATGAATTGAATAAAACAATAAAAAAAACACAACTGTAAATACCTTCTCAGGTTCTTTATTGTTATCATTACTTTGGTATTTTGTAGGTATCCTCAATTACTTTATATTTGCAAACAAGAATAACATAACAAGTTGATAAAGTTTATTATTATTATCATTGAAAAAACAGTAATGTTTTATTATCTTTGCAGTAGACATTCTAAATTAAATTACTTTTGGGTTTATCAATATCTCATGGCAATGTCTCTTTTATTTAGCTGCATTTAATGGTTTCTTAAAGTTGATTGTTAATCTTTTTCTTTTCTGTTGAAGAGAAACAATGGAAGCGACAGTACGTAGTCCATGTCTTTTAAAGTGTAAACAGTGTGGAAAGTGCTTTAGCCAAGCAGGAAGCTTAAAAACTCATGAAAGAGTTCACACTGGAGAAAAGCCTTATGAATGTAAACAGTGTGACAAATGTTTTAGCCAAGCAGTTCACCTAAGGAATCATGAAAGAGTTCACACTGGGGAAAAGCCCTATAAATGTAAACAGTGTGGCAAGTGTTTTAGCCAAGCTGGAAAACTTAGGATTCATGAAAGAGTCCACACTGGGGAAAAGCCATATAAATGTAACCAGTGTGACAAGTGTTTCTGCCAAAAAGGAAGTCTAACATGTCATGAAAGAGTTCACACTGGGGAAAAGCCATATGAATGTAAACAGTGTGGCAATTGTTTTAGCCATGCTGGAAGCCTTAGGATTCATGAAAGAGCTCACACTGGGGAAAAGCCTTATGAAAGTAAACAGTGTGGCAAGTGTTTAGGCGATGCAGGAGGCCTAAGGATTCATGAAAGAGTTCATACTGGGAAAAAGTGTTATCAGTGTAAACAATGTGGCAAGTGTTTTAGCCGATCAAGAGACCTAATGAGACATGAAAGAGTTCACACTGGGGAAAAGCCCTATGAATGTAATCAGTGTGACAAGTGTTTTAGCCAAGAAGTTCAACTAAGAAGACATGAAAGAGTTCACACTGGGGAAAAGCCCCACAAATGCAAACAGTGTGACAAGTGTTTTAGCGAAGCAGGAAAGCTAAGGATTCATGAAAGAGTTCACACTGGGGAAAAGCCGTATGAATGCAAACAGTGTGGCAATTGTTTTAGCGAATCAAGGAGGCTAAAGATTCATGAAAGACTCCACACTGGGGAAAAGCCGTTTGAATGTAAACAGTGTGGCAAGTCTTTTAGCGAAGCAGGAAAACTAAGGGTTCACGAAGGAGTTCACACTGGGGAAAAGCCTTATGAATGTAAACAGTGTGGCAAGTGTTTTAGCCGATCAGGAGACCTGATAAGACATGAAAGAGTTCACACTGGGGAAAAACCTTATGAATGTAAACAGTGTGGCAAGTGTTTTCACCAATCAGGAGCGCTAAGGAGACATAACAGAGTTCACACTGGGGAAAAGCCTTATGAATGTAAACAGTGTGGAAAGTGTTTTAGTGAATCAGGAAAGCTAAAGATTCATGAGAGAGTTCACACTGGGGAAAAGCCGTTTGAATGTAAACAGTGTGGCAAGTCTTTTAGCCGATCAGGAGACCTGAGAAGACATGAAAGAGTTCACACTGGGAAAAAGCCTTATGTATGTAAACAGTGTGGCAAGTGTTTTAACGAAGCAGGAAAGCTAAGGATTCATGAAAGAGTTCACACTGGGGAGAAGCCATTTGAATGTAAACAGTGTGGCAAGTGTTTTATTGAAGCAGGAAAGCTAAAGATTCATGAAAGAGTTCACAGTGGGGAAAAGCCGTTTGAATGTAAACAGTGTGGCAAGTGTTTTAGCCAATCAGGAGACCTAAAGAGACATGAAAGTGCTCACACTGGGGAAAAGGCTTATGAATGTAAACAAGTGGTTTTGTCAATCAGGACACTTTAAGAGTCACTCAAAGTCCACAGCAAAAAAAGGTCACATAAATGTGATAGTAACAAGGGTCTTTTTAAGAGTTTGCATTGTAAGGTTAAGAGGGCAGGATTGACTAACAGGACACTGTTAGACAGCATCTGTCAAGCGGAGATGAGTAGTGAATCTCTTCTTCTTCAACATTATGAAAACCATGAGGCATGTTGCTGTAGAACACTCACAAAATTAACAAATGCTAGAGTCTGAGTGTTGTTAAGTTTCGTTTGGTTTTTGTTTGGTTTGCATTTACATGTAAGCTGTCTAAACTATCTGTTTTGTCACCTTTGATTAGTTGGTTGCATTGAGTTTGAATTGTGTTTCCCGTAAATGGGTTTTAAAAAAGTTCTTGAAATACATTGATGTTGACGGTTTTGTACATTGGCAATTCAGTTTGTTGGTGATCTTTTAATAATTCTAGTAACAATCACACCACTAGTGAAATCAGATGATGAAGAAAATGTTCAGACTTTGAGCGCTGAGGTCGTTGCTTGATGGATCAAAGAACTGCCATTCTCCTGCCAGTCCTAATAGGTAAAAAATTTCGGATTTAAACTGAAAGGAGGAGATCTTTCTTACACTCCTCGGACTGTTAGTACAGGCTATTTTTTTTTCCTTTATATGCCTTTTATATATGATCTACACCCGTAGAGTAGCTTTTCTTCAGAGATAATAAAGCGCTTTTATGCTTCATACGATGAGTAGGTCGTCAAATGTTGCCGAGAGTTGTGCAAAGCTACCTTTATAGGTGTTATACCTTTGATGTTCTAAACATCGCTTTTGGTTGCTGAATTTTGTCACCCATCCGGGTGAATTTTGTCACCCAATAGCACTATGTGTTTTGTTTACGTGACCCACGAACTGATGCACAAAATCAGGCTAAGTAACAAAGTATGGCACTCTTTCATTTTAGTTCACCCCCTACTCAACTGACCCCCCAGATCATGTGAACGTGAACCAACGCTGGAAAAAAGTAGTCCCTTGGTTTGTTTACGTGACCCGAGAATTGATGCACACAGTCAGGCTAAGAGATAAAGTATGGGACCCTTTTATCTTGGTTCACGTTAACGTGAATCAAAGCTGAAAAAATTGTCCCTTGAGTGTTGTTTACGTGACACGTAAACGGATGCACGTAATCAGGCCAAATAATTAGGTATGGGACCCTTTCATCATCTTGGTTCCCCCCCCCCCCTACTAAACCGACCGGCCCCTAAATTATAACGTTACCAATGGACCAATGTACAAGCTAAGTAGTGGTAGAGGGATGATTTACTCCGTTTTGGAGCCTAGCAAGTGCCTAGTCATTGCCTAATCCTGCATACTAATTTTAAAAGTGCCTAGTCAGTGTCCAGCTAACTAGATAAAATTGCGTTCCTTCACACTAATCGACTCTTCCTCCTTCGAGTTTGACCGGTTTGTGAAATATGTTGATCGTGACATTGACCGTCCTATTGATTGGCTCCGCCAGAAGAAGTTGGAGCGTGGTGTCCCTGTGGCTTTCCCAGTTCCCAAGTAAATGGTCATAATTTGTCTTGTCATCTGCGCTGGGTTTTTTTTTTGGGACTACCTCCGGTTTTCGTTCCTTTTTGTGAAGTTGCCTCGTTTTTTGTTGCTGTTTGCGAGTAGGCGAGGTTCGATACCTCAGCGAGTTTGGCGGACGGGTTCCCCCTCCATACTGTTTTTGTGCTGCTTTGTGTGTGGCTGTTGCTAGGATGTTGTTTAGCGCCATTGCACTCACCCCACCGAGGGGGCGGCCGCTCACCTTAAATATAAAAGAAGTTAGTCGTTTCCTCGATATAGAACGGAGAAAATCTTGGTCAGCATAATACACATTGTTCTGTCGCAATTTGTAATAATCATCGCACTTTGTAATATCTGTCGCAATTTGTAATACTTGTCACAATTTGTAATAAACCGTGTCACACTTTGAAATAAAAAAGCTGTCGCAATTTGTAATAACTGTCCATCGCACTTTGTAATAAACTAAGCTGTCGCAAAAAAAGCCTTTAAAGATCTAATTTCCAGCCCACTTTCAATTTAGGCGCACTACAAAGAGGTGTTCGCCAAGGGTGCCCTCTTTCCGGCTCCCTATTTGTGCTGTGCGCTGAAATTGTTGCTAATGCAATAAGGTCTAATGCAAATATTCAAGGAATCAACATATATGGAAAGGAATTCAAAATTTCACAATACGCAGATGATACCACTGTTTTTGTCTCTGATATAACATCTGCCCAAAACCTCTTCCAACCGCTCCACGCTTTTCAAAAATGCTCTGGTCTTGAAGTGAACAGAAGCAAGACAGAGAGCTTGTGGCTAGGCGCGAACAAAAACAATCCGGAAGAACCTCTTGATATTGCATGGCCAAAAGATCCTGTATTTGCACTTGGTATTCACTTCTCTTATGATGACGAAGCTGCTTTCAAAAGGAACTTTGAACAGACACTGTCCTCAATGGCTTCCTTGCTAAACTTGTGGTTCCCCAGGAACTTAACTTTACATGGTCGAATTGTCATTTTAAAAGCATTAGCCCTCTCCAAACTTATTTATAACACTGCTGTCCTCACTGTCACCCCCACATTTATTCAAAAAGTTAATAAAGCTATTACTCAATTCGTCTGGCAAAAGAAAAAACCAAAAATAAAACAAACTACCCTGATTGGCCCTAAAGAAAAAGGTGGTCTCTCATTGCCTGATTTTGACATAATTAACAATGCTCTCAAAGCAACTTGGATCAGAAGACTAGACAGCTGTCATCCCACCGCGAGTTGGACTCACATTCCTGTTTCCCTGCTAGAGCGAGTTGGTGGTCTCTTTCTCCTTAAATGTCACTTTGAACTTAAACATCTTAACATACACATTTCATTGATCTTTTACGAGAAAGCCTTGTTGGCCTGGCAATCCATAAATTCGTTCACTCCCTCCTCAAAAGAAGAAATACTCAATGAAATCCTATGGAACAACCGCTTTATTATGATCAACAATTATTCAGTATACTATAAAGCATGGCATGTAGCGGGTGTTGAAAAAATTTGAGATCTCTTCAACGGCAATACCTTTCTATCTCACCAAGACTTCTGCTCTTATTTTGGCTTTAAAACTAATTTTCTTACCTACTACGGTTTATGCAAAGCAATTCCTCCTAACTGGATTAAAATAATGAAAGGTAAATTACAACCGCCTTCGAATAAATCCATAAGTATGGATAGAATTACCGTTGAGAAGCTTTCTTCTAAACTTGCTACCAACTTTTTTGTTGAAAGGAAATTTGTTCCTGCCACCGCCAAAAAAAGACTCAGAAAAGCTAGTTTAAACGAACAGCAAATTTCTCAAATTTACAAGATGCCTTTCAGTGCTACGAAAGACATACAACTCTCAATGTTTCAGTTCAAGATCTTACACCACGTCTTACCCACCAACGCTACATTATATAAATTCGGAATTAAGGAACATGACCGCTGTCATTTATGCGCTGAAAAGCAAACAATCACACACCTATTTGTGACTTGCCCCAATGCTCAGCTGTTTTGGACACATTTTTCAGTTTGGTGACGCGAAAATAACAACATTGAGATCTCGCTTTCTGAAGCACAAACACTTTATTGCATTACAGAAACCGTGCCTCAGTGTCTTGGTTTAAACCTCTGCTTGATAATTGCATAATACTATATTTACACCGCGTCTAAAAATGAGGAAGATTATTTTTTCGACGCTTTTTTGTCTATCCTTAAAAATAAAATACAAATTGAAACTAGCAAAGCTAAGGTGCAAGTCAAGCTGTAAAAATAATTTTCTTGATTCTGGCTAGTTTCCCTTGTTTTTTGGCTTTTTTGTTTGTTTGTTTGTTTGTTATTTATTTATTTATTTATCTATTTTTTTGTCGTTTTTAGCGTATTTACTCTTCGTTAATAGATAGTAAGTTAGTAATTAGTTGTATTAGAATTCTTTTTTCATTATTTTGTAACAGACTCCAACTCATCGGCTCCTGTTTTGTAAGCATTATCTTGTAAGTTAATATTATGTAAGTAAGTAGTATTTAACTTAGCAAGTTATATGTAAGTAGGTATTAAAGCGTTATGTAAGTAAGTAAGTACTATGTAAGTAAGTCAGCATTATGTTTGTAAAAACAATAAAAATTTAAAAAAAAAAATTTAGGCGCTGGGTCAATATATTTCGCGTTATACTGTGTAATGAAATGTTTTTAGGAAGTAAAATGATAATTTACATCAACTGCAGTGATTAACAGTTCAGCAGAGGTAGTAGGCAAGGTGGATTAAGTCGTGATCCTTATAAAGCTACTCCGTTGAAAATTTGATGTACGGACCGGTGTTCAAGCGTTTCTTTATTTATTATTACTATTATTATTATTATGTCTTTTTTGGGGGGGGTGGGGCTTGTCGTCTGCCGGAAGTTTCCAAATACAGTCTCGTAAGCGATCGCATGGTAAAGCAATAGGGGGTTGTTCCTTACAAGAGCTTCAGAAAGTAATTGCGCATAAAGAAAAAACAAAAGAAAATATTGTTTAATAAGTATCTTTATATAAGCTTATATACACACGGCTAAACTTTGTGTCCAATTTTTACCACTATCGAAGACTGCACTTTCATCGGAGTTCTGAATTATATGAAAACAACTCTCGCTTTTATACGAGAGCTTAAAAACGAAGTCCAAGGAATCCAAAGGTCCAGTTGGGTAATTCCAAAGAGGTCGCGGTCGCTTACGAGAGCTTTTCATTACAAAGTTTAAGCATGGATAATAGTGATGGTTTAAGTCACAGTTCCAACGGGGTTTCACCCGGGGGTTTCAGAAATGTGGTAGTAACTACTGGTCGCTTACGAGTTACAAGAGTGGTCGAAAGGAGAGTTTCGACTGTCCTCGTGCACGTTATTAGACTTTCTTAAAGTCCTTCGCTTCCCATTTTCGGTTCAGATAGTTAGCCCCAAAAAACATGAAAAACCGTCCCGCTCGCGCTTCGTGCTCGTGAAAAAATTTGAGCTCGACTTGTCAGGGGCACTCAACGACGGTTTTCTCCTAAATGCATTGAAAACACTTTTTAGACTATCCAAAGTACTTTTAGATCTTTAGAAATACATTTTCTATCGGCGCTATAAAATTTATATCTGTTCGGTCAACCTAGGGCAATTTGAATCTTTTCGAAATTA